CATACGGTGTATGCCCCGTCGCAACCAAAGCCCCGAAAGGTGACGTTGCACAAACCCTGATTAATATTGGCCGGGTTTTACAAATCCACGTTCCCTACTGGCAATGAAGGGAATCCACTGCACCTGACTGGTTGATCCAACGCAAGAGGCTCCCACGGGAAAGCTCGGAGACCTCAAGCAATGGCAGAAACGATGTCGAACAAACCCCAATGCAGTTTGGAGAAGCCTCACTGGCTGAGTAGATGGCCCAACAAAAGTCCAAACTTTATTTTTACCCACTAAAACGGTCTTCCCAAAAAGTTTACAGTTCATGATCTCAGGAAGTGAGAAGTACGCTTATCTCAAGTGGCTCAACGAAAAGAAATTGAGCTGTTGGCAATTGGGGGCAACTAAAAACAGGCGGTACCTAACAAAATGGCAAAACGTGCAAAGCTCAAAGGTTGGCTAGAAGTAGGGCAGCTAGTGGCCGGGGGACCCCCATTTACATCTGGCACTCACCGACAGGCCCGACAGGCATAGGAAACTTTAAGAATCCGCGTAAAACTGAAGAGGCTCCTGAAATTCAACATGGCCCAGAAAGACGCCACCCTTCAACTGGAAAGCACGATGCAAATGTGCGGGCTCAATCTGTTTTCGATTATGCCCGCCCCGCTGGGGTGGGTCTGCACAGAAGTGATCTGGATGCCCACCGAATCCAAGATGATGTGGAAACCGTTGCCCGCAACGTGGGAAGTGGGGCTATTAACCCAAAATTGTGTATTTTGGCTGCGTATGCCATGTGAATCCCTGGGGAAGTGGGCTGGCGGTAGTGGAAACCAACTTAGATCAATACTTACACAAAGAGACCCCAATGCAATGATCACACGGGAGTAAATCTTGGGCTCCCATGCCAGCTGGTTGACCAACAGCGAATTCAGATGTGCATACAACGGCGCAAGCACGCCATCAGGGACCCCAGGATTAGCCGCACCTCTTTGAGACACAGTGCCGCGCGAACAACTGAATTTGTGACGATTTCACGATACCTGGATGGATCAAACCAAAGCATGTTCTCCCTGGCAGGTCCATCTGAAGAACAGAACAGATTTCCATGGGAAAGAAGGGCACCTTTTTCCTGGTAGGTGATTCCTCAGCTTCCCTCTCATTGGTGGTTTGGATTGGTGCTTTGGTGGTTAAGGAGTGGTTTTCCATTTTGCCTCAGCAGGGCTTCAAACCCAAATCCAAACCACCGAACCACCGGGCTCCAAACCGCCAATGCAGGGCTACCTGAATTGCAAGGGAACCTTCTCTCAAACTTCGGTTGCTGTCTGCTCCCCTGCTAAAAGTTGAACTTTTGGTGGCTTAATGGAAAACCCATTGGTTGGCAAAAAGTTAAAGTCCCAACATCCAAGCAACATGCACCACAGAAACAACAGGGAAGCGCCCCAGAGACGTCCCCGGGCTTGAAACGGGCGCCTGGCAGCTTCCGCAAAGGCCCGGCGGCGAGCGCCGCCAGCGTCTGGTCGCCCTCGGCGTCAGCGATCGAAGGCTTAAAGAAAGCCTTCAAGAGACACCTACCATTTTGCGGGGCCCTCATGGCTCACTTCTGAAGTAAGAGATTTTGCTGGCAAAAAAACACTATTTTTTTGGGTCTAAGGCACTAAGATGGTCTTCATGAAAGTCCAGCAACTCGGGGAGTGAGAGGCTAAGCCAAACCTGTCCAGCCCCCGAACCTCGGGAAGAAGGTATTTGTTCTCTGTTGGCTACAGTTGATTCCTCATGAGATGCTGGGAGAAAAATCCGGTTGTGACTGAAGCCCCGGATGCGCTACCGCACTCCCGTCGTAGACCTGGAGGCCTTTCTTGACTGACGCAAGCCATCTTGAGCGGCTTCCGGTTGCATGCTTGGCATCTCTTTCCAAAACTAACATTAAATTTAAGCGGTAGAAACCTATTCTCATGGGTTTTGTCAGTAGATGATGACATGATGGGTTGCCACTGCTGGGCGGGGCCTCCTAAAAAAGCGCTCAGCGAGTTCCAGCCCAGGTGGTGCTGTTCCCTCGCACGCCTCGGAGCCTCCGGAGCTCGCCGCGCGCGCCTCACTCAATGACTCAACCGCGCGGATTGCGGACTTGGCGACCAGGTAACTTAGGTCGTTTACGTCCCAAGTGGAGTTGGTGACCATGTCTGAAAAAGACGCGCCAAGTGTTGGCCAGGTTTGCAAACGTCCAAGTCTGCACCTGCCACAAGAATGAAGACTTGATAACAACTCTTTTTGTGAGGCTCCTTCAAAGTCCCTTCAACGAATTGACAAAAACCCACACATAACTTCGTATATGAAAATATAAATACACATGTGAGCAGTGGGAGCCGAGTCTCAATTGCAACGGTCCAACTGGAGCCCTTCGGACATGGTTTTCCTCCGACCGCGGTGGAAACCGAACACATTTTTCGCTTGGTCGACCATCGGGACCTGACAAAAATCACCAGAGACTCCAAAAACGGACCCCCAAGGATACCCCCCACCCGCGATTTCCATGGAAGGTCGAAACACATTCTTTGGAAGACGTAGTTTTCTCAACTGTTTTCTGCAAGCTTGCGGCTGTTCGGCTGAAGGAGTGTACCCCGTTCTCGGTGACCCAAGGATATCCAACTTGAGTCGCGTCCCATTTTAGGTTGCCTGCACTTTTGAAGGCACCCTGTAACCCATCAAAGGGGTGATGTGACAAACCGGAGGCACCTTGGAAAGGCATTCCCACGCCACCTCCCGCCGAATTTGCCGATGCGGCAGAACTTTAGCCACATGCGGGGCCAAGTTTGTCGTTCTCTACTTCCGGAGTGGATTGACAACCAGTATGTTGGTTTTGCTTACCACCAAAAGCGCCTTCCCAAAAAAGTATTAAAGTTCAGGAACTAGGCACGTATGCGTTTGGGGCTCGGAATTAAGTGCTTTCTGTTTATTTTTTTTGGGCCAAGGCTCCACTGGGGGCTCGGTGGACTCCTAGTGTTAGGCCCTCAACAGCTTCTTTTGGCTTCAGTCCTTGAGGCGGTGCGCCGTGGGATATTTGAAGTAAGCGGCTTCGAATGACTTCCATTTGCTTTTTTCGCCCCGTGAAAAAAACGTCCAGTAGTGATCGATTCCTTTTAAAGCCCACACGGGAAAGTAAAAAATATTCTTAAACAAATGGAAGGTGAAAGAATGCCCTTGTGCTTGCAGTCTGTCGAAACAAAAAATGACACCACCCCAGTACCCCAGTTATCCAGTGACTCTGGTAGAAATAGGGAACAATTGTTGGTGTTGACATGTGTTGACCATGCTTGCTGGCAAAGCCACCAAACAGGGAGTCGAACTTCGAACGCTCGCCTTCTGCGGCGATTTCTTGGGCGCCATGGCACAAGCTACGTGCTGAGTGCTTGCAAGCTCTTGCAGGTGCTTGCTGGTGTGGGCAGCTGCAGTTGCTGCTCACTTGCTGGCAGTTGCTCGCGGGTGCTTGCAGGTGCAGTTGCTTGCAGGTGCAGTTGCTTGCAGGTGCTTGCAGGTGCGTGCAGGTGCGGGCAGGTGCTCACAGGTACTCACAGGTGCAGGTGCTTGGAGGTGCGTGCAGGTGCTCAGTGCAGTTGCTTGCAGGTGTGCGCAAGTGCTTGCTGAGTGCTGGCGCTGCATGCGACTGTCCAATCCCTACTCCGGCGCGCCCGGGCCCAAACGCGGTCAGCGTTTGGAATCCTACAATGGACGCAGGACCACAAGAGCTGCTGAACACATCCATGTACGTCTTTAGTCTTTGGTCTATTCATGTCTGTTGATTCCTGGAAAGCATTCGTCCTTATTGCGTCTCGCAGTCCCACTTGAGCCAAAGAATTGAAGCCATGACTTATCTCCGGCGGTCTCTGACTGGCACAAGCCTACAGGGAGCGCCCCTTCCGTCGACGTCTCCTTTTACCGCCCGTTGAGCGCGCCACGGTCGCTTTCCCGCCTTCTGGCAACTGCCCTTAGGGCTTCGCCTTGGCTCTTGGATTGGCACTCCATCCTGAAACTCGCATGAGTGGATTCCAACAGAGTTCAAGACTTGTCGTTTACAGCTAACATGATCGTAAGATTGACAGTGCGACCTCAGAATATTCAAGTCCAGAAGTTGAAGTGTAACTAAGCCCAGGTCTTAGCTGAAGTTTGCACAGTACATCCCAACGCATAATCTGCGAGCCTATACATTTGGCGCGGTTGCCAGCGGCACTGATGCCAGGTCCGAACAACTGGACTGAAGTGGGTACGTGAGAAAAACAAAAAAAAGAGATTTGGACGCCCAACATGGCGGTTTTCGTTTTGGTCCTGGGTAGCCAATTACCCCAAAAGCACTCTGAACAAAACCTCACACCCAAATTTACTTTAACATAGATACTATGTATACATACATGCATACATACATATATATATATACATAGTATATATCAGTGCAAGGCACCAGTATTCCAAATGTTGACGCCAGTATCCAGGGGATTGCCGAGGGTTGTCCACCACGGTCATTCAAGCACCACACCTAGTGTTGCTCCAAAATACCTGGAAATCCCGGAGGCCATTGGCTCAAAAGGGTCGCCTTTTCTTTGGTTTCCCATGTTTAGTCGGGAGCCTCGCAGTTTTTGAAACGGAAAACCTGCCAGCAAATGTCAAACCGTTGAACTAAATACTGGACCCTCAAACACCCTACTGTTCATGCACAGAATCCTGCACCATTGCGGGTGGAGCAAACCTGACTCACTGTGATAAACCACCTCCCAACTGGCGGTGGATTTGACCAGAGCTTCTGGCTGGTCAACATGCTCCATTCGCTTACGTGCCAATATTCAATCAGAAGTCTACAAGTCATGGCCATGTTATTCTACCACTAGTACGGACTCAGAAAAGAAATGTCCGGGACCATCGAAGATTGAAGTGACACCTTCACAAATACCCGCTAAATGGTGGCTTTAAGGGAAACCACTCCTGAAAATAACTTCAAGTACCCCTCAAACTGTTTACCTGAAGACCGAAAACATCCTGGGCAAAGACTTTGGGAAAGCGATGCCCAGCCTGTGGTCAAAACCACTTCAAGTTGAGTGCAATCCTTCTCCACTCGGACAACGAAGTTGGTCTGAAACGAAAGCCAGGTACTGCTTATTTGGAGATGCCTGGCGTGCTAAGATGCGCTGCATCAAATGCCTTATTGGCTCACCAGCAAAACGAACTCCGCCTGCACTTAAATGATGTCCTGAAAGGGCGGGCGGGCAGGCGGTAATCCGAACCGACCAGGCCGACCAGGCCTGGCAATTCTCGAATGTCACATCCGGTCGATCTGCGATTTTGGGCAAGTATGGACGCCATGAAACTTCTTTGGCCCCTCATTGCTCTCATATGAACCCCGGCCCTAAAGCACCAGCCCAAGGTAACCGCAAATAAGCCCCACGCAACCTTATTTGGGGAACATGTGAAGGTCCTCACAATCAATTTGGGATGCTCGTCCATGACTTGCATACTCTGACTGACACTTGCGGGTGACTTGGCCGGTCAGAGGCATACTCCAAGGGTCGTATTTTACCAAAACGAGGCTCCATTAGTGGACGCAGTTATGCGGAAGAGCTTGTTTGGAGGAATAAGCAGCTAAACGACAGCTAGACACATAAGCAGGTGGATAGTTAGATGGAGAAACAAATGGATAGCTGGACAGACCTAGATATATATGTACGGATCGCTAAAAAAGATTAGAACGATAGATAGACACATTGACAGATATATATAGACTAGACTAAGCTAGATTAGATTTGACTATCTAGACAGGTAGACAGGTAGACAGATAGACAGATAGACAGATAGACAGATAGACAGATAGACAGATAGACAGACTCGCTTCCTGAGTGGATGGGCCAACTCAAACAAATCCAGAAACTCAGCGAGTAAGCAGATAGATACATTAGATTATATCAGAGTTCGAAAGGTAGCTGGATAGATGGGATATATATATATATATACACATACAAATATACAAACAGGTAGATAGGTAGACAAACAGATAGACAAATGGATGGATGGAATAGAATAGTTCAGATTCTATAGATTAGATTAGTTCAGACAGACAAACACATAGACAGATAGATATAGAAACAAATATACTAGATTGTGGCAGGTTAGAACCGAATAATAAATTAGATCTCGATGGATGGATCGAGGGAGAAATCGGCAGGATAAATAGATACGTACGCAAATAGATGGACAGAGTAGATTAGTTTAGGTCAGGTTAGGTAAGGCTAAATGGAAGGGTTGATAGGTGGACTAGCTTAGACTAGCCTGGATTAGATTCGGTTGCGTAGAGAAACAGAGACATGTAGGTGTCTAAAGCAAGCGAGATAGATACATCGATAGTTGACTTTGGAGGGGTTTGCCCCCTCCGCAACTCACTTCCGATCGAGTTGATGAGCCAACAAAAAGTCCAAACTGCTTGTTCACCACCAATCAAAATGGTCGTCCCCCCCAAAAAAGGCAGAAGTCCAGGAACTCAAGGAGTTCGGCCACATCGAAACTTTCAGTCCTGGAAGGTGTTCACCCAGTCCGGCAGAATGGCGTCCTCCGCATCGGAGCGGCTGTCGTTCTTCAGCTTGATTATCTTGGCTCGCGCTATGGCCGCGCTATGTCCACCCATCGCTTGGTTCACAGAGAGGGGGGAACCAAGGGGACAACTCATGCAAAGATATGATACTTCATGCTTAACCTTTTGTTTACCACTGCACTTGTCTTCGCAGAAGGTACCAAGCCAGGAACTCAGGAAGTGAGGTACTCCTTTTGCATAGAACCTCCATAGCTCCCAGCCACGATTGGATGATCCCGGAGTGACCCAATGTCCGGGTCACCCGGTGGGATTCTTGGGTGCTGTAGATCCCCCAGCAAAAAAGTGTTTCACTTTTTGCTGGTAAGGAAATATGAGGGGAATCCAAAAAGTTCAAGTCTAAAGATCCAACCCAACAGCAGTAGAGGCTTGACCCACAGAGGGGGGACCAAGGGGACAAGTTTGGAAAACCGCCCACAAAGGGGGACAGGGGGGACCAAGGGGACCAAGACAATGTTAGATCTTTGTTATGGCCACAGAGAGGGGGGACCATGAGGACAACAAATGCTAAGATATGAGATGATTGTTTGGAAAACCGATCGGCCAGAGAGCGCTCGGCCACTGTTGAATGGCCACCGATCAGCTTGAAGAGTTTTGTTTTCAACTATGGCCTTTGAAGACCGATAGCTTGGCCCATAGAGGGGGGGGACCAAGGGCACAAGAAATGCTAAGATACTTCATATTTAGTCTACCCTAAAGATGTAAAATAGTTTTGGAGAGGACCCCAGGTTTGGTTGAGGAACTGTTTACTGATAGATGATCAATCCCTCAAATGAAAATAACCTGGTCTTCTCCAAAAGCCAGGCCAAGAACTGGCATTGCCAGCGCTAAGTTATCTTTGATAATGGTCAAGACTTCTCTGGTGCCATGAAAGAGTTACAAACCGGATGTCCGGCAAGAGGTGGGACGTCTAATAATTCACCAACCAAAAGTCAGGGGCCATTCAACTGGAACCTTTATCCAGTCGCAAAGCCCCCCCTCCCGCCCCACGGGCAGGGAATACATGCGGCAGACCAGTCGCAAGAAGAAACCAGCTTCACAGGATGAAAATGTACTCCCTGGTCGATCAACAGGCGTATGGTCCCTATTTAAAGACAAAGCTCTAACAACCAGGTTCCCATTCTAAATCAGCTGCTGAACAAATCCAGCAAGCCAATTGCTTCGAGACATGTTTTTGAGAACCCCGGCGGCCATGGCACCTTTGTGTTCGTTGAAAGGAACGCCTTTCCCCGTAGAAACACGGGCTGGAATCCAGATGTTTCACACCCCTGGAGGCTCGCTCCCCGGATAATTACACCCCCAACAGTGATTCAACCAGAGGTTCCGCTTCATCCGGGTTCTTTTGGATAGATTTGGAGGCTTAGATAGGCAATTCAACCCCTTTTCGGAATCGTCGTGGGACCACCAAAAACCACCCAATTCTTATTGCTTGTTTCTTCCTAGGGTCTCCATGACCCCCAGAAAAAGGGCCCTTAATTTGGGGCAATGACTCCATTTTTAAGGGTCATGGAGAGTCTAGGTTGGCCTTTTCTTTTTGGGGCGCCGTGAAAACGCGCGCAAAATCTCCGAGGCACGCCGTTGACCAGGGCGAAGCTGGGCAGCACCGCGCACTGAACCAGGTCGTAGGTGCGCGCGCCCGCGGCGCCCGCGTACAGATTCCTCATGGCGACCTGCAGGAGGAAGATGCCGAAGAGGGAGACGAGGCCTTCCTGAGTCACTGTGTGGTGCCAGGGTTCTTACCTTTAATACTTAACAATTGCACAAAATTAAGGGGTCATAACCCCTTTTTCTAGGGGTCATGGAGAATCTAGGAGCGGTTTAGGGGTACCTTCCTTTTCCATTCTTTCCAGGGATCCAAATCTTTTCAGGAAACGATGAAAAGGGGAAACAGCCGGTTTTTGAAAAGAACCAAGACTGGTTCTTAGGCCGACTCCAAGAATGTGGACACACAGAAAGGACCCCCGCTAGCCCTCGACCTTATCTGTCGCTATTACGTTGGGATTGGGAGGAGCCTATTGGGGGCCTGTTGACTGGCATATGGGATATGGGCACCGGCTGTAACAAACGAAACTCAAGCGGCACGCACTCAGGCGGCACATGGCGACTTCAAGGAGGCCAAGGAACCGTTTCCTCGCGCTACAAAACGACCCCTATCAGCTTGTAAAGATGATGGTTTCAAGTGGCCCAAGTAAATTCACTAAGGGACACCTGCAAGGTTAATTGTTTCGACCACCCGGGGTTTATTGATCCTGGATATGTATCCTTTACGTCGTGGCTAAGTAGTGGCCGTACATGCAATTCAACCTTGGGGGGGTAGTGGCTTAGGTGTAGAGGAATCCAAAACCTGAAGTCAAACAATGACCTGAGTGAAGTAAGACTTGGATCCCCATGATGCCTCCCAAATCGCCGAACCGAAACCGCGAAAATCGCCGCAACCGACCGCGGCGCCAGGCAAATGATGATGATCATCGCGGTGGAGAGGCCCAGGCGGTGGATCACGCTCAGCACGAAACCTTTCGGCGCTTTCCCTTGGCCCACCGCCACGTAGTGTTCTTGCAGCGCCTGGCCGGGTACAACTTTGGGACCCGGGAGCTGAAAAGGTACTCCAATGCAAGTCCTCAACAAGCTTCACTACCAGCTGAGTTAGAGGATATCTGTAGCCGCAAAGCAGGTGATTGGCTGCATGCTTTCCTGTGAGCCTGGAAGCGGCAACGCACCAGAAGCCAAGGGATATGAAAGAAAGCCCCACAGTCACCAGACTCCTGGCAAGGTTCTGGTCATTGATAGTCCTTAATAGCCCCTAATGGTCACTATTTGAGCTGGAGGGAGGTGTGTTTGGCTATTCGTTTGCATCCAGTTCGAAAGGAGTGGGGCGCTTGGGAGCTTATCTTTCAAACTTCCAACCCCATGTTTATTGGAAAAAAGGACCAAAGAGAAGCGTCCACAATTGGGCCCCGCGCCCTCTAAAGCAACAAGGCAGAGGTCTCCACTTAGGCACAGTAGAACCAAAAGATACACAAACAAATCTCTGGGCAAAATTCAAGAGATCCCAAAACTAGAAAACGAGGAGAGCCGGGGAACCCAAAAACCAAGATGCGAACAAATATTTGTGAATGACTGTCAGCGAACTGCTTGCCCAAGCAGTTTGCAGGCAGGAGCTCGTGGGCGACACAGGCAGACCGACAATGCTGCTATTGCTGCTGCGTGAAGGTTCTCACGTTTTCTCTCATAGCTCTACTTCCATCCCTTTCCATTGAGCTTGAATCGCTGCACATGAGGGAAGAGCAAACTCACAAGAAAGCAAGCTTAGCAAACACGTCGTCAAGCTGCGCACTAAACTAGACCGAGGCTTGCTAGGCTTGTTTTAAGGAAACCAGCATTCTGGCTTGCTCCTTCTAATTTGCTTGCAATGTTTTTGGGCTATAAGGTGGTTCAGAGGGGACAGCGGCCTGCTCGCCCTGCGCGCGCGAGCCTTTCCATGTGATGTTGAGCACAGCGAAAGGCGCGCGCGCGGCACGCGCGCGGCGCGAACAGGCTTGCTTGATCTTGCCAGCGTTGGATGAAATTCACACGGGTGAAAACAAAGGCCCGAAATCATTGCAGCTGTCTGATAACCAGCGACTGCAGCCTCAGTAGGTTGCTGAAAACTTGCGTCAGTCTGCACAAAGGTGACCAACTCTTTGATGACGCCAGGAATTCCAGAGTCCTCCAACAGCACCTTCGCAGCTGCCTCATCCACCTTGATGGTCTGATATTCCGGGTTGCGCGCAGTGAGAAAACGCGCCGCTGCCAAGCACACGGATGACCCCAGCTCGCGTTATCGCTGCGCCGTTGTAGACCAAATCCCACCAGCACGACCGGCGCACGGATGACCTCAGCTTGTTCTCGCTGCTTTCCTGGAAGCACGACCGCGCCTCCTTGTCGCCACGCCTCTGTGAACCAAATCCCACCGGCACGCGGCCTCCAGCACCTCCCGTCACCGGCTCTGGTTGCATCCGCAGAAGCAAACCCACGCCGTCGTCACCTCCATCCTTGCCGCCTCCGCCAAGCCAAATCCCACCGGCACACGGATGGCCAAGGTGACGGGAGGTGCTGGAGGCCGCGCGCCGATGGGATTTGGTCCACAGAGGCGCAGCGATAACGAGCGGTCGTCCGAGTGCCAATGGGATTTGGTTCCAGGGAAGCAGCGAGAACGAGCTGGGGTCCTCCGTGTGCCGGTGGGATTTGGCTTGGCGGAGGCGGCCAGGATGGAGGTGATGGCGGCGTGTGCCGGTGGGATGCTTCTGCGGATGCAACCAGCGCCGATGTGACGGGAGGCGCTGGGCGTGCTGGTGGGATTTGGCCCACAGAGGCGCAGCGATAACAAGGCGCGGTCGTTCGTGCGCCGGTGGGATTTGGTCCACAGAGGCGCAGCGATAACCAGGTGCGGTCGTCCGTGCGCCGGTGGGATTTGGCTCCGGGAAAGCAGCGAGAATGAGCTGCTGGTTGCATCCGCAGAAGCAAATCCCACCGGCGCACGCCGCCGTCCTCCATCCTTGCTGCCTCTGCCAAGCCAAATCCCACCGGCACACGGATGACCCCAGCTCATTCTCGCTGCTTTCCTGGAGCCAAACCCCACCGGCACACGGACGACCACGCCTCGTTATCGCCGCGCCTCTGTGGACCAAATCCCACCGGCACGCGTCACCTCGGCGCTGGCCGCATCCGCAGAAGCAAATCCCACCGGCGCACGCCGCCTCCGCCAAGCCAAATCCCACCGGCACACGGATGACCCCAGCTCATTCTCGCTGCTTTCCTGGAGCCAAATCCTCGCTGCGCCTCTGTGGACCAAATCCCACTGGCACGCCCAGCACCCCCCGTCACCTTGGCGCTGGTTGCATCCGCAGAAGCAAATCCAACCGGCACACGCCACCATCACCTCCATCCTTGCCGCCTCCGCCAAGCCAAATCCCACCGGCACACGGAGGACCCCAGCTCATTCTCGCTGCTTTACTGTAGCCAAATCCCACCAGCACACGAACGACCGCGCCTCGGTATCGCTGCGCCTCTCTGTGGACCAAATCCCAACGGCACGCGGCCTCCAGCACCTCCCGTCACCTCCATCCTTGCCGCCTCTGCCAAGCCAAATCCCACCGGCATACGGCCGACCCCAGCTCGTTCTCGCTGCTTTCCTGGAGCCAAATCCCACTGGCACACGGACGACCGCGCCTCGCTATCGCTGCGGCTCTGTGGGCCAAATCCCACCGGCACGCGGCCTCCAGCACCTCCCGTCACCTCGGCGCTGGTTGCAATTCAGCCGGCACAGTCACCAACAGTCAAGGTCGTCCCGGCTATGCGGTAAACTCGGCGAAACTCGGCACACTTGAGACCGGTCACGTTCTTTGCGCTGTATGCTGCAAACTCGGCCCTGCGGTATGCGGTAAACTCGGCACACTTGAGACCGGTCCCGTTCTTGCCGGCAATTCAGCCGGCAGGCCGCCTGTTCGGCCATTTCCCGGCCAGTGGCGTTTACACGGCATGCTGCAAACATGGTACACTTCAGGCCGAACCCCTGCCGATCCTTGCTCCCTCGCGGTTAGACAACTAAACGAGAACCCAACCCCAAAGGGGTTTTTGGGAAAAATGCAAAATGCCAGAAATCCCAAAACTAGGAAAATTGCAAAATGCCAGAAATCCCAAAACTAGAAAAAATGTGCAAAATGCCAGAAATCCAAAAACTAGAAACAAATGCAAAATGCCAGAAATCTCAAAACTAGAAACAAAAAGGGGCAAAATGCCAGAAATCCGAAAAAGGGAACCCCCCGACTAAAGCTTGGTCTAATGGGTGATCACGTTACCACAAGGTGAGCTCGCTACAATTCGCCCAGAACCAAAATGGGCATGTTTGTTGAGGGCTGGACAAGTTCACATCTTGGCGTGTCTTGTTTTGAGGGTACTCTTCTTGGCTTGTTAAAAGGCAAACCAACAGGAAACCAACCATTTTAGGGGGTCCCCCCTATTCTGGGACAAACCCATATCTCGCCATTGATGCAATCTGCCTTCGACCTCGTGTCAGGGCGGCCTTTGGTGATACCAAGGCAGAGATGTCTCATGTGTTGTTGACCTATCCTCATTTACCAGTTTGATTCAGCTCCTTGACATTGACGCAGAGAATGCAGAGCTGATGGCAACGCACATGCAAATGGCCAGAGGCCATACGCAAACAAGGACATCCTTTTTTGGCCGGATGAGTCTGGGGAACCCTTCCCAAAGGGCGGAACTTACAGGGCAACTCACACAAACAAGCGTCACATACGCAGAAGCAAACAAACAGCAGCAACTCGTGTGCCGTCCTTCAGGCGGCTGAAGATAACGGTGACATAGGCAAACCTGGGAAAAGTAAGCAGCAAGCACACACACACACACCTTGGTTGCTGCAACGACTCTGGACGAAGCTTAACAATTTGTGGGTCCAATGGCATATCCGAACCAAACAGTTAAAGTCCAAAGATCCATTGCCACATATACAGCCATAAAGACACACACACACACGCAGCACACTTTTGGGGGCCGCCCTTTTGGCTGGTTCGATCGGGACATCCAAGCAAACCATCCACGCGGGATTCCAAACTTTCGGCTTGGGAAACTTTACAAAAGCGACCAAGTGCCAGGGCTGAATGAAATGTGTAAAGATGTTCAAAGGCTTGTTGTTTTCTGGTTTCTTTAAACAACAATACTTTTTTTTGAGAATCGAACACTTTGCACTGCGGAAGGAAGCCGGGACTTGTCCACTGGATGCCGGGGTCTATGAAAAATATCTGCTCTTGAGTGCGCGAGCGAACGGAAGTGAGCCTTTTGCGAACGGATGATTGCAACATCAAACTTGTATCAAACCAATCGCTTGAAGTTGCTCAAATTGGCTACAACCGATAGAAGTGTGAGAACTGGTGAATGGGTTCATCTGTACGTGGCATTTCCCAAACTCCTGCTCTGGTCATAACGTCCTCGGCATGCTCCATGCGGGGCAAATGAAAGGAGTGAGCAAACCGAGTGACTCAAGATCCGCTTTTTGGGCCGAGGCCTTCGCTTGAAACGTCTCCGGTTTCTTCAAGGAACAGGGGCTGGATTGAACCCGTCTGGGTCTCAGAATGGCTTGCTCCTGTTCTCAAAGGTATGAACGTTGTGACTTAAAGGGTAGACCAACTGGCGGAAGAAAACAACATGGGCGGCAGACACGCCAGATACGAGTACGTCTAAAACCCAGAATGGGGGCTAAATAAACTTGGTATGATCATTTGGGACCCGTACCTTGGAGCTACGACTCTCATGTCAGGCCCCTTGTATTCCCTGATAACCCATAACATAAGGGGTTAAGTAGTGTGCATGGGGAGTTGGGGTAGCAAGAAGCTAAATTGAGTAATTTGTGTTCAGCCCCTCATGGCACCCGATCCATGCCCCGTTTTATTGCTGCCAAGGAACATGGTCGCCAGCGGCACCAGCGCGTTTTGGATCATCGCCGGGTCCACTGCAGAGACGGAGGAGAGGTACACCAGGGAACTGACAATGTACCTCTGCTCGTAAGGACAAGGAGTGGTAGGGCTTGGTAACCCTTTGCCATTCAAACATCGTTCTCAACCTGAGCTGTCCGTTCTCTGATCTCCCAAAAGTGAATAACTTTTAGCGGATTGATGTTAACCCCGGAGAAATAAACCCCTGGTTGATTGATAGGGGGTGTCCCCTTTAGTGGGGATTCAGACCACTTTTGGAGGGGTTTCCACCCCCCCAATAAAGGGACGGGTTCTACTTAGATCCTGGGTCAACATTAAATGGACTTTCCCCACGACGAAACCAACTAAAAACAGCACCTAAGGAACCGGACGAGACAGGGAACCGCCAACGTCCGCAGAAAAAATATCGGCCGGTTTTCTCACGAAAAAAGGATGTGTGATCGTGGGGACTCTTGCAGTGATGCTCTTGGGGGCTGACAGGAATGCCAATATGCCAACAGGAAACTCACTTGGTCCAAAAGGTGCTATTCCATCACCAACAAAAGGGAAAAAATTGATGAAATGAAAATGCAATAGACCAATGTCTTTGCGGTTTCCTTGCGAAGCATTGGGTTTGGCAGGACAAAGGCATCTCGAGTCGGATGCAAAGCAACTTTGCGCCAAAATGATCCTCAAGGGGTTCATAACCTATTGGCCCCCTTTTCTGTCAAATAAAGGGGTCCCGACAAGAACGCTGCTACCTCGATACTTCTCAGTTACGAAAAGTCTACAAGCCCTAAATTCCCCGTGGTTTGCTCAAACCGGCAAATTTCTCCTGGATACACTGGACAAAGCGGGGCAAGCACAAAATAGCTCAAGAGAATCCGCCTCAAGTTGTGCTTTCAGAAGGCGATGTAAGGCAAACGAACCAAAAGAGCCCCAGAACAGTTTCACTGGCTTTGCTTGGGCGGATTGACCAACGGATCGCCTTCTGCAACCCTTTCCGCTGAAAGACCTTGATGTACCCTCCAGAAAATCGCCCAATGCCCCAATGCCCCGGACATGCTCTGTAATCTCTGTAGTTTTGGACCCAATTCTTGCCCCCGAATGTCCAGTGTGGTGCTCACCTCCGCAACCGGAAACCGGAAATCAACAAAAAAAAGTGCAAAAACCAAAAGATCCGAAAGGAAGGCAACAGCTCAGCACATTTGGGCCAGCTTCACGAGCCCAGCTCAAAAACAGCAAGTCTTGGGGCATAGTAGCACACAGCCAAGATACTTGTGCAGAAAAACAAAATATACCTAGAGTCTCCATGACCCCTAGAAAAGGGGTCATGTCCCCTTGATTTTGGGCAATGACTCACAACATGAGATGAACCTGAAATAAAGGCTCCGCGAGTAAAGGACCATCACCATCAGCTGATGCAATTTTCCACGTGAGCTCGCTATTCAAGAAATATATGCAAATGACGGGCCAAATACGGCACCTGTGCACAGCCAGTTTGTTAGAACGTATCAGTTCCCAATGGCTGGGCCTTTGGTGGTTTTTGGATCCACGTGAACGCCAGGAAAAAAAAGAAAGATCTGGTGGAAAAGGTTCTGCCTTGATTTCGGTTGTCTTCCCCAAAATGGTGCAAAGTCCAAGAACTCAGGGAGTGATTTGGGAGCCCTGGACCTATCTTACGCCATCGGGTCAGTGCGCAGCAGGGTCAGCACGACCCAGCAGAACATCAGCACAATTTGCAGGCCGGAGAAGACGATATTCAGCCGGCCGTGGTCCAATGCAAAGTAATAGCCTGAATCGAGCAGTACTCCCCTGCAAATGAACATGGAGCCCAACCATATAGTTTTTGGGTTTCCATTTTGGCTTAGGGTAATTGGGTTCCACGTCGTTAGGTGCATGGCTGGTGAACTCGTGTTGCTCAGCAATGGGTCTCCCCACAAATTGGTTGAAGGTTTCTTCTTCTTCTTCTTCACGACTGAAGGAAGCCCCCAGATAGGGGCACGGGATGTCCAACCCCAAGTTCATCAATTTACTGCCGGTGTCCCTTGAAATTGCTGAGGTTCCAAAAAGGGCCATGGAAGACACACGAAAACAAAAAAAAGAGGCCGCTTTCACTCGCAGAAACCTCCGCGCGCAAACCCCAACCTCGCAGGTTGCAAGGCTCGCGGTCTGCGCTCCAACCACGGGTAGTGGAAACCCGGGGTTAAGGGTTCATCCTGCCCCCCCCCTGTTGGGGCACTTCCTGATGGTAACACGGCCAGTGGATCGATCTACTGCCGTTTCGGTCTGGACTCCATACTGGAGACTTTGATCGAACCTCATCAAGACCACTTGTAGTGTGGTGTAGCCCGGAAGCCGGCAGTCATGCAACCCCGCATGGTAGCCTCGGTCAAACTATGCGCTCCCACCACAAAGGTTCCAAAGTGGAATGAATCATACACCCCGCCCCCAGTGACGTGGGCAAAATTGAGCAGCCTGCCAGCAACTACTGAATTGACAAACACAATGTACGACACATGTCACATGTCTATTTCTGACTTACTTAGTGGATTGGCCAACAAAAGTCCAAACTGGTCGTTTGCCACTAACTGGTCTTCCAAGTACAAAGTCCAGGACCTCGGGAGTGAGATGTTCACGACCCTTCAGCGGTTACACTGCCCAAGTTCTCACTTGACCTCCGGCACCGGATCTGCTTCAAGTGGCTGAAGCCCAGGGGGATGCTGATCAAGGCATAGACGCCCAACATATAGTTGAACGCATCCACCCAGTCCTCAGCCAACTCGAGGGTATGAAGCATTGGTTCTGAAGCAGTACACGCCCACAGGCTTTTAAAGCAGTCTGTACCTCACTTCCTGAGTGGACTGGTCAACGAAAGTTTATCCTTTTGTTTACCACTACACTTGTCTTCGCAAAAGGTACCAAGCCAGGAACTCAGGAAGTGAGGTTACTCCTTTTGCATAGAACCTCCATACCTCCCAAACCCAACGGAACACGGCCACGAATGGATGATCCCGGAGTGACCCGATGTCCGGGTCTGGTGGGATTCCAACCCTCGCCTTCGCCTCGAGGCGTTGTCAAACCAAGGCGCGCGGTCGCGGCTTGGATCCTAAAGGACTTGCCTGCGAACGCCTAACCCCCAAACTCATCCAACCCCAAAAAGTGACTAACCAACAACTCAGGGAGTGGGGGCTGGGTTCCGGAAACCACGAGGAAACCACTTATTTTGAGACAGATCCATGTGCCTTGACGTTTTTGAGCATTGCCATCCGCCACCAAGTGGATATCGTGAATCCTATTCAATAAGGCGGTATCAAATGTCCAAATGTCGCCCAGCGGTGTTTCAAAAAAAGATAACGAAAAAAATGTTTGAGAACCTGACCACCCCTGCGTGGGTACTTATTTGTGCCAAAAACTCGGCCTCTCATAGAAATGTCCTTGAAAAGGAAACCCGGGCTTCGACAAACACCACGAAACCCCCGCAGTGCTGACTGAGACTGACCGACCACCCGCAATGGCAATGCCCCTCCCCACCTGAAACCCCGAGCCCGAGCCCGGCGCCGGCTTGAAGTGACAGGCCATGCACATGAAGACGGGGCAGCACGAGAAGGTGGCGGCGTGCAGAAGTGCCGAAGCACACGCCCAAAGCGCCTCATGCGAAAGCCACGTGCTGTGACCCGATCTTAACAAAATGTTTGCGGGTGCTAGGGTGTCTGAAAAGAAACCACCAGCCATCCCCGCCGGGCTTCCTTGCAGACCGAGATGGAACAAGCACCACATAGGGTATTGGTTTGCAGGAAGCATCTACTGAGCGCCAAGAAAATGATGTAATCTTCGGTGCTAAGTGCGAACAAAACACCTTGGCATGGGCCTTGCTATCATCCCCCAAGCAATTCGGCAGCAAAGGAACCACCTGAAGCGCACCTTCTGACGGGTTTCCGTACCGAGCTGTGGTGGCACCCCTCCTAACTTCCGGAATCTAAATCCCCAATTCCATTTGTTCTGTCTTCCCCGCAAGCTACGAAGCTGTGTGACTGATTTGGTTTTCCAGTCTCATGTGTTGCGTCAAGGCAATATTGGGGGGTTGCCCAGCTAGCTGGCAGGCTCTTGGTTGAAAACTCCTGACACCCTGTTCTGCATTGCCAGAGTCACCTGAGGTAGCCCAGGCACGTTGCCTGTGGCTTCCCTTGAAAGCAACCCGAAAAGACAGCCCCAATGGACAACCAAGTTCTCCCTCTCTTTTCAAGCCTTGATGATCACCTCTGTCTTCCTTGTGCGGTGCAATCCTCTGGCTGGCGGCTTCGCCCCAGCAACGCGTTGGACGCCGAATCCTGCAGAGTCCGCACCTTGTTCCCTGCTTTCAGAACGCTCTTAGCCCCCTTCATGGATCAACTGTCACAACTGCCTGGCTGCTGTCTCCGCCAGCTTGTGGATTTCCCCAGGTCACAACTGCCCCAGATTCAAGAATGGCGGCAAAAGCGGCATGCGTTGATTGGATGCTCTGGACGTTCTTCAGCTGCTCTTGCACCTGGCTGCTCTCTCCGCCAGCTTGTGGATTTCCCCAGGTCACAACTGCCCCAGATTCAAGAATGGCGGCAAAACCGCAACCGGCAGTTGCTGTGATGCGCTGGACATTCCTCAGCTGCTCTTGCACCTGGCTGCTGTCTCCGCCAGCTCTCGGATTTCCCCAGGTTACAACAGCCCCAGATTCAAGAATGGCGGCAAAAGCGGCATTCGTTGATTGGATGCTCCGGACGTTCTTCAGCTGCTCTTGCACCTGGCTACTGTCTCCACCAGCTCTTGGATTTCCCCAGCTCACAACTGCCCCAGATTCAAGAACGGCAGCAAAAGCACCCTCAACAGTTGATTGGACGTGCTGGACGTTCCTCAGAAGTTTATGCACCTGGCTGCTGTCTCCACCACGTTGTGGATGGCCCCAGGTCACAACAGCCCCAGATTCAAGAATGGCAGCAAAAGCACAGCAATTTGCTTGAAGATGCTGGACGTTCTTCAGCTGCTCCTGCACCTGACTGCTGTCTCCGCCAGCATCTGCACGACCCCAGGTCACAACTGCCCCAGATGCAAGAATGGCAGCAAAAGCACCCGCGGCAGTTGCTTGGATGTGCTGGACATTCCTCAGCAGTTCATGCACCTGGCTGTCGTCTCCACCACGTTGTGGATGGCCCCAGGTCACAACAGCCCCAGATTCAAGAATGGCAGCAAAAGCCTGGCTAGTTGCTTGAAGTTGCTGGACGCCCGTCAGCTGCTCTTGCACCTGGTTGCTGTTTCCGCCGGCCTCTGCATCACCCCAGGTCACAACTGCCCCAGATTCAAGAATGGCAGCAAACGCACCCTCAGTTGCTTGGATGCGCTGGACGTTCCTCAGAAGTTTATGCACCTGGCTGCTGTCTCCACCACGTTGTGGATGGCCCCAGGTCACAACAGCCCCAGATTCAAGAATGGCAGCAAAAGCCCAGCTATTTGCTTGAAGATGCTGGACGTTCCTCAGCTGCTCTTGCACCTGGCCACTGTCTCCGCCAAAGTCTGGATCACCCCAGGTCAAAATCTCCCCCCCGTGGCCATGCCATGCAAAAGCCTTTCTCGTGGCAGCCAGTGAGGCCAGCTGCACAACCGCAGCCACTGCGTCCCCATCTCGCAACCCGGCCTCGCGCAGCGTGGCTGTCAAATCCAGCTTCCGGTCTTTCGCAATGAGTGTCAAGCGGCGCTGGAAATGCTGCTGCGCTGCAGCCTTCAGCTGGCTGATGGGCGTCTCTGGTGAGACTTCGACGGAGCAACCGTCTCCGCTGGGCAAATGAACGTTCACCTTCATGGCACAGGAGGAAGGTTCATCTGGGTGCACGCAAACTGTCAAACACGAACCTGAGACACAAGAACGCTTACATTATCTTACATTCGGGGTCCCTTTTTGAATGGCAATTGTTGTGATCCCAGAACTATTGGCAAGGTTTCAATTCCTCGGACACAAAAGCTAGATCCGTCATGGGTCTTCAACCATCCCGCTGGACACAACCTGACCTGAACAAAGGCGAATCGCAGCTTACCTGGTGAGTGATGCCCATGATCAACAACACACCCAAAACGCAGGGTAGGGATCTTCTAATCTGGGCTGGCATACAACCAAACGTTCCGAACCCACTAATCCAGCAGCTTTCTTTGCATACCAGCAATCTATCCATCTGTTTTGTACTTGTCTCTCCATCCAGGAGCTTTCTTTGTATTTGTTTAGGGGGTCATGAGTGCAATCTGAGAACGGGTTCTCGAAGAAAAAAACATCCTCAGAAAAGTATTACGTTGTGCCCTGGTTTGGCAGCTGTCATGGGTTTTCAGCTTGGTTGAGAACACCTGCCCCGTCGGACAGGCAGTTCACACTTTTCACGCAATTTCACCCCCTCAGAATTCGCATTCACAGCATATGGAAACCTGGCGCCCAGCATCGTTTTCCATGCCGCCTAAGGATGGCCCCTGCACAACCACAAAAGCCAGGAGAAAATAAATTTGGGAAACCAATGGTATCATGACAGGAATGCCATCGGCTCATGTTCTTTGCTTCTCACTTCTAAATCGCCCAAGAAAAGCAGCATGTAGATTTCCACCCACGCCGGGTACCCCCATGCAAATTCATACGGATTAGTATGGTTCTTCAATTGTCGGTATATAAAATGAAGCGAAAAGGAAACCAACCGTGCGAGTGTCTTTTTTAACGGCCCCCACCCCCTGAGTCCCAAACCAGTGGTTCTCGACCCCTAAAGGAAGGAGCATAAATTAATTGTGGTAACGGGTCTCGTTAAGGTCCCTGCATCTATTTCAAGAGGATCCAACGATGTCCCACATGATGGATGTAGAGACTACTGGATGGCTCTGGTAAATAGGTATGCAGTGGTAGCGTACCGCATGGTTCTTTCTCTCTGATGCGGAATCACATGCAAGGATTGAAAAGAAGAAAGAGGAAAGGCCTTGAGTCAAAATGGCTGTGGGAAGATCAATGGTGTAGTGCGAAGCCAAAGCAAACACAAAACATACACATTTTTTCCCACCTCCCAGGTGAGGGTCTCCAGATTCGATCTCAGCGTCGCCTTCCACCACTTCCTCTTCCTCCTCTCCCCCTCTTCCTCCTGCTCATCCCCTTCCTCCTTTTCCTCCGCTTCTCTTCTTGTGCCTCATGTGCTCCCGTTCCTCCTTTGCTGCTGGCTGCGGAGTGTGCTGCACTGGACTTTTCGCGGGGCCAGACTTTTCGAAAGGCCAGACTTTTCGAAGGGCCTACGAAATCTCATTCTATCTATCATTTTTATGTGTCCATCTCCAGTTCTATCTGTCTTTCTGTCTATCTGTACGTCTATGAATCTAGCTGGCTAGCTAGCTATCTATCTACCTTTTATCCACCAATCTCTCTATCTACGTCTCTCTCTCTCTCTCTCTACCTATCTATGCTTGCTTTATCTGTCTATGTACCTATCTCTGTGTCAATATATATGTATACACGTGTCTTCTGAGGGCATTTTGGAGCAACCCATGCTGTCGACGCTTCTTCGCTTGCTGTTTGCTTGCTGTGGTGCAAGTTGAATGGCAGATTCAAGCTTCTTCATCGGCACTAAGAAGGACAAGTACCGCTATGAATATCGAGTTTCTGGTTTTGAGCACCGAGGCTTCCCAGTCTTCCAGACCGACGGGAATGGACACATACTGTGGATTTTCCAGACCGATATGGCCGATGACATTTTTCAGTGCAATTATGGCGAGCCGCTGAGACATCAACACCATGTTTTCAACCCATGGGTTCCTGGCAAGCACTTTTGGCATGAGTTTCTCTGTCCAGCGTTCTTTGGAAGAGCTAATCGAGAAGCTTGATGCTTGAGAGCTGGACCCAATGCAAAAAGCTTCTTTATGCTTAGATGCGCTTCGGATGCTTGGAAAGATCCACTCCGCAGAAAACAGACGGCTTTTCTGCCTCAAAGAGCACCAGGCAAATGTGCACCCCTTGACAGGTCCGTGTGGGAGTGAACATCATGTCACTAGAATAGTGGCGGATTGGACATTCATGCACGCGGCCGTGGCTGGGCTAGCTCAGAGATCCACAAATCTTCGGCAGGCACTGCGCGCTTTCTTTGTTCCCCCACATCTCCGGTAAGGGTCCCTAGCTTTCATAAACACCTATATATCTATCTTGCTGTCTGTCTATCAATGTCTCTCTCTGTCTCTCTCTCTGTCCATCTATCTGTGATTTCTCCATCTCTACCCCTACCTCTCTAACTATCTACCCATTCTATCTTTCTCTATCTACCCACCCACCCACACCCACCCATCCATTCATCCATCCATGTGTTTCCCCCTCTCTCTCTCTCTGCCTATCGGTCGATCGAACGATCTATCTATTTATCAGTCTGCCAATCAATCAATCAATCAATCAATCAATCAGTCAATCAATCAATCAATCAATCAATCAATCAATCAATCAAATCAATCAATCCAACCATCCAATCCAATGCAATCCAATGCGATCCAATCCAATCCAATCCAATCCAATCCAATCCAATCCAATCCAATCCAATCAATCAATCAACCAATCAATAAATCAATCAATCAATCAAATCAAATCAAATCAAATCAAATCAAATCAAATCAATCAATCAAACAATCAATCAGTCAATCAATCAATCAATCAACCAATCAAACAATCAATCAATCAATCAATCAATCAATCAATCAATCAACCAACCAATCAAATCAACCAATCCAATCCAATCCAACCCAATCCAATCCAATCCATCAATCAATCAATCAATCAATCAATAAATCAATCAGTCAATCAGTCAATCAAATCAAATCAAATCAAATCCAATCAAATCAAATCAAATCAAATCAAAATCAAATCAATCAATCAATCAACCAAACAATCAATCAGTTAATCAATCAATCAATCAATCAATCAATCAATCAATCAATCAATCAATCAATCAATCAATCAATCAATCAATCAACCAACCTATCTATCTATCTATCTCTCTATCTGAACCTGCCGTGAAAACTGTACTGGACTGTGTGAAAGTGCTGCGCCTGCCCCGAAATCTATACCTGACCTTGCGAAAGTGCTGCGCCTGCCAAGAAATCTGCAACTGACCTTGCGGAAGTGCGAGACAACGCTGAACCGCGACAAAAAGCGACATTCCAGCCCACAACAAAAAATCACAACAAAAAACAACCATCTACAACTAATCCGTATGGAAATTGAATGGCAATGGCAAAGAGATGGAAAGGAAATGGAAATGAAATGGAAAGCTAATGGAATGGACATTCAAAGGGGGTGGACAGCAAATGGAAAGGACATGGGAACGACATGCAACGGAGATGGAAAGGAAATGGAAAGAGAAAGGAAATGAAACGGAAAAGTTGAAAATCGCAAGTTGCTTTCTATTTGCTTTGCATTTTGCTTCCCACTTCCTTTCCAATTGCTTTCCATCTGCTGTCCATTTCCTTTCCATGTCTTTTTTCTTTCCGTTTCCTTTCCATTTTGTTTCCAGTTCCTGTCCATCTCCCTTTGCTCACATTTCCTGTCCAAGCCTGAAGATCCGGCCACTGCGTTGCCTTTCTATTTCCTTCCCGTTTCCTTTCCATGTCCTTTCCATTTCCCACCTTTTCCCTTCAAAATCCTAGATCCGGGCTTGGCCGGCCGCTGATAAATTCTTTGCGCGCGGCAAAATAGAAATAACAATTTCTGCCCCAAACCGAGAGATCTGGCCACTTCGTTGCCACACATTGCGCAGACCAGTCTTTCTTGCTGCTGATCTGACAGTTCACTCTGGGTGATGAAGAACTGCGCAGTTAGATTGTCATAAGTTACGCATCCCTGTGTCTGTCTGCATGCTGTTCAGGTATGTCTCAGTACTTCTGGATCGTCTGCGGCAAGTAGACCTGTCGGTCGGCGGTGCCCTAACACCAGCAGCCTGCCGATGCTGGACAGTTCCTCTTGGCTTGCTCCCTGGACTGATGCAAGAAACTCTGGTGACTGTGCCGCGAAAGTGGGCATCAGATCATTCCAGGATGCCTTCAGTCTCTTGAGAAGAATATCAAAGTTTGATGCGAATATGAGGAACTCCGGGTTCTGCACGTTGGTCGTTCCCTCCAGGAAGTATTTCGTCAGCGCGTTCTTGAAGTAGTTGACTCCTTCGGCGGGATCTTGAAGCAACTTGTTGTCAAGCACTTCCTTGTGCGTGTAGGCATCTCGCATGAGTCTGCTTTTGAGGAGAGGTCCTCTCTTGGATGCTTCAATCGTGGTGAGTATCGTCCAATCATCCAAAAATTCCTCACACCTGAGCCACCTGACTTTCCATCGTAGGATGGGCGGCTGATTGGCGGCCATTGGTAAATTGAGGGTCTCTTCGGTGATGCCGACTGCTCGGCCTGCACTGGAATTGGCCTCTATGAAGCCTCCCCCACCGGATGACATCTTGATTTGGATCTTCTGAAACACCCGCTCCGCTGCCACAATTGGGTCCCAAACTGGGGGTGCTCGATCCCTAAGGTGGGAGCACCCATTGTGGTTGCGGGTCTTGTTAAGGTCCCTGGATCCAAAAAATCCAATGATGTCCCAATTCATGGGTGTAGAGACTACTGCATGTCTGGCAAATGGGTATGCAGTGGTTGTCCCTGTGAGCGTACCGCAAGGTTCGAAATCATACGCGTGGTGTGAAGAAGAAGAAAGAGAAAAAAGGCCTTAAGCCAAAATGGTTGTGGGAAGATCAATGGTGTAGTGCGAAGCAAAGCCTTCGCAAACACACACACAAACACACAAACACACAAACACACAAACACACAAACACACAAACACACAAACACACAAACACACAAACACACAAACACACAAGCACACAAGCACACAAGCACACAAGCACACAAGCACACAAGCACACAAGCACACAAACACACAAGCACACAAACACACAAACACACAAACACACCAACACACAAACACACACACACACACACAAAAAACACACAACAAAAAACACACAAAACCACACGCAAACAAACAAACACAAGCACAAACACAACACACAAACACAAACACAAACACAAACACAAACACACACACACACATACACACACACACACACACACACACACACACACACACACACACACACACACACACACACACACACACACACACACACACACAGCACACGCACGCACGCACGCACGCACGCACGCACGCACGCACGCACGCACGCACGCACGCACGCACGCACGCACGCACGCACGCACGCACGCACGCACGCACGCACGCACGCACGCACGCACGCACGCACGCACGCACGCACGCACGCACGCACGCACGCACGCACGCACGCACGCACGCACGCACGCACGCACGCACGCACGCACGCAGCACGCACGCACGCACGCACGCACGCACGCACGCACGCACGCACGCACGCACGCACGCACGCACGCACGCACGCACGCACGCACGCACGCACGCACGCACGCACGCACGCACGCACGCACGCACGCCCGCGCACGCGCACACGCACACGCACACGCACACGCACACGCACACACACACACACCGTCCCCCCCAAAAAAACACACACTGTCCTTTTGGTTTCCCTAAACCACAAAACAAGGGGTGCCCTCAAAAAAGACACGCCCGTGGGGGACCCAGGCCCACGCCTCTTCCTCGCAGCGGTATGCGTTGGCGATGCTGTTGTCCAGGACGAAGAAAGGCGAACACATCTTCAGCCGGTCCTCCAGTCGGTTCCAACCACGTGACCCTGCCACGTGCCCAAATTGTTCTGAAATACGCAAGCATTGTATAAAGGCTACATATGGATGAGTATTTCTACAATTTGGACCAAAGGGTGTCCACCCCCACAGACACTATCATGTACTCAAGGATGCTGGAGGTTGTACCATACAGAAACGTCTTAAAGCTGTGGGGGGGGGGGGGTCGAAACAAAGGTGCCTGGAAATGTCCCTCAATTATTTCGCTCCCTCCTTTTTCCTTTTGCATGGGGCATGCGGGGGCAAAGCAGGCTTGCAAAAATCCTTTTCCGGCGATTGCTTTCTACTGTTTGTATCCCTTTCGTGCGTGTTTATTGTCAGCATGTGCCAATGGGAGGAGTGTAGTTGAGTAGGGGAATGACTCATAGGAAGTCTGGGAGAGAAAGCAAGGACGAACAATGTCCATCTTTGAAGCGGCCAGCTTCTTTCACTATGTAATTGTCAGCCAAGACCTCCTCGGACACTGCTAGCCGCCCTAAGAAAAGAGCAACGGAAGGGGCCTAGAATTGCAGAACCTTCTTGTACAACCCTCCCGTTTCTTTTCGAATTCCAAGAGGAAAAGGCTGGTTTCAATCCCGTGCCTTCAACAATACGCCCTCAAGCAAGTTCCGTGCCTCGATTTGAGATATCGCAAAGGCCAAGAAAAAAACAAAACACACACACTCAGCACAGGGTAATAAAATGTCTACCTAAGCCAAGCGTTTCTCAATGGTAGCTTCTGTAGCTAGGTTTATTCCGGCTGCAACATGTCCAACCCACAAATCTGGAGCCTCTCGCATCTTTTTGCCCCTTCTTTTTCAGCCGGATGTCAGCACCCGCCTTCAAGTTCGGATGCGCAAATGCTCAAGTACACGTCGCTTGTTTGTTTGTCCTCTGTGCTGTTGAGCCCGGGCCAAACGTATCCATGAAACCTCGCGCCCTCAAAAAGAGTTTTGGGAACCAGAGGGACGAAGCTCAGGAAAGCCCAGGCGCCCTCCCACAGGAGATCACCCATGCTGGTGGGAAAGCCTTCTCTAAGCATCACCTTAGTTACGCATGAATCGTGGTTGCGGAAATGGGTGTCAAGTGTGCAGGTATGGAACCCAAACTGTTTGGAAGCCTGGTTTCGACCCCACGCGCTGGTGGTCAAATACTGACATGGAGGGCTGACTGCCCAGGAAGGCTCTTAATAATATTTGATATCCCTTGACCTCAGAAAACAACTCACCCACAAACGAAAATCCAGGGATGACCCCTGGACGCTTGGGGCACAGAAAATAACCTTTTCTTGGGGGTGTGGCCCTGCAAGCTAGGCTCTATGGTCCTTGGCGTGCATGATGCCCCCCCCCCCCCGCCAAAAAAAAAGAAGTGTGCGGGTTAAAGTTGATAACCATTTAGAAAAAAACAACAACTCGAGTTAACCACACCTAAGTGGGGGGGACTGTTTTCAAGTGATTAGCCACTTGGGCATAAAACACTAGTAACAACCTAGTAAAACTGTTTAACCTTAATGGCCATACCCTAAGTCACCCACAACCTGGCCGAACACAACGCATCAAACGCAGCGCCTTGAGCGGGACCTCTATAGTGACGCCGGCTGCTGCTCCTCCCCCCCAAAAACCCAGCGATTCTCTAGGGGTTGATTCCTTTTCCGTTCTTTTCAACCATCGTTCTTTCTGAAAACCGGATCTGGTTTCCCTCGGTTTCCGGCTCTCTTGGCCAACAGCTGAGCTACGCAAAAACATCGTCGAGCTTTGGAGGAGATTTTAGGCTTGGACGAAAGCCAATCAACGCGGAAAACAGAGCTGGTACAAACGGGTGGTTACAAGGCAAGTATGTTCCCTGCCGCCTCCTCAGGCCTGCAGCAACCGCGATCCACCCTTCAAGATAGAGTATAGGACTTGCTTGTTCTTGCTACCAGGCGTACTAAGCTTACTCTTAAGACAAAACGGAGCCCCCAGCTTTGTTCGATCAATCACCATGGGATATGTCAAATATCGGAGGGCTCAGCCCTCCCGTACTGCAAACGCATACTAAGAATACAGGTGGAGATGCCCACACTGGTGCGCGCAAACCGACATGGCCTTGCGCCTGTTTCCGTAGATCCCGTCATTGCCCCTTGCCACATGTCAAGCCGAAGTGTAGCAAATTATGAACACTGAATGTTTGGCGCAATTCGGAACCTTGCCACAAACATGACAAACTCATTTGCTTACTGGTCCAAATGCCAGGCTTTCAAGTGTTTAAACTCTCATACGATTGAAGAATTGCCTCTGCACGTCAGCAATCTGCGCAAAGGACACCAAGTGATTATGGATTTGTTCTGGCTCGTTTCCAAAGCCGCGTCCTGGCTTGTCGGCCTCTTTGGCATTCTTCAACTGCTCCTGCACAGCAGCGCAAAGGACAACAGCAACCAGCAGCAACAGCAGCAGCAGTGGAGGCGGCAGCCACGGCAGCGGGAACGACAGCAGTTGCCTAGGTAGCCTTTGAGGCAGCAACTTCACATTGCTGAACACGACTGCCAAACCAGAAAAAAATCACTGAGGACAAGGAAGTGGACATTGCTTGCCAAACTGTTCAGTTTTTACTTGCACGCTCTTGACCCCCCTGCAAAAAGTTAACTTCTTGGGGGTTTAGTGGAAAACCCACCTTTATTTCAACCAAACAGTTAAAAAGCCTAAAGATCCGTTGCCCAATAGCAGCCAAGGAAAAAGTGCTGTCAAAGCCTTTTTCCCCGGATCCGTGAGCTTCGCGGATCCTTGAAGACAGCTGGGTCCAATGTGTGCGAGCGGTGCGCGTACTTGTATCTGCCTGGGCTCCCTAGGGCTCCCCCTCAACCAGCCGAGTGAAACAAGGGGGCAAGGCACGTCAGGGGCCACTGGATTTCCTCAAATCGAAGTTGATCAATTGACTGGTGGTTTCCATTGAAAGAGCCAATGTTGGATCTTCCAAGATAAGGGGAATGGAGGAAACTCTGTATGTAAGCTTTTTTTTTTGCAACCTGTCCCTTTGGGGTAGGGAATCTTAGATCCCAGCCCAGCAGAGGGTCTGTTCATTGGCTGGACGCTAAATGCATATACCCTATATACTTGTATATGCGTATGTCAATGAAGGCAGCAATGTAATTATACTCCGTCGCATTGGCAAAACTATCTCTAGATCAAATATGTGAGGCTGTCTTTTTGAGGGTACCTGTTGTTGGTGGATTCTTGAGCGAAATCAAAAGGAAATCTCCAAAAAGACACACACTCATGTAAGCAGTTTGTGTAAATATGAATTCCTCCAAAACATTCCAACCTGCAACAGCCGAACCTGATAGGCTGACAAAAAGAGGTAGGCTCGAAAAACAAGTGTCATACTTAACCCGGTAATGATGATTCCCCAACACATACCCAAACAATATTTCCCATGGTTTCAAAGTGGTGCGAAATGGAATTCGTCCATCCATGGTACAGTTGGTGCCCGAAAGCAAAAGTACACCTGCGCGGGCGAAGAAGAGAACAAAAGGGACTGCGTACTGGCTGAATCACTGACTGCTCCGCTTTTCGATGGATTTTCGTGCCCGAACCAGCATTCCAATTGCTCACACAAGCCCCGGGAAACTTCCAAAGACGCCGGCAAAGCAGAAATTCGGCCCAAGCAAGCAGAAAGCAAATCCAACTTTTTAGCATTGTTGCAGTTGCTGACTCTAGGCCACAGTAGCACTCCTTTCGCCAAAGGAATGGAAAAGACTTGGGTTGAAGCAGCTTTCTGCCCGAGGCCAGAACCAAGGAAGAACTAAAAGAGTTCAAGTTGAAACCGCCGCACACAAACCTAACACGGTTTCCACTTCCGTCGCTAGGTTTTTTTGGGGATACGCCGCAAAAAGACCACTGGGATAAATGGTGCATGCCCTTGCCTCAACATCCTTAGCTTCCCCCAGAACTCGGCACAGGCGCTGACCATTTGCCAGCTTCCCCATCAAATTGGCGGTTTGGATGAGTTCGCGTTTGGAAGTTCGGGGGTTTCCCATTGACACAGGTTCAAACCACAGATTGGGCTGATTGGGCACGCTGAAGTTGGTGCTGACAAAGGGGTCCGCCTCAGGGGGTTTTGAAGGTAAAGCCCTTACACCAGGTGCCGCCCAAGAATCGCCGCAGCTTATACCAAAGCTTGTCGTGCTGAGCTATCCAGACCTGGCCCGAGTTTTGAAGCGCCTTCTGGCCTCGTTCTTGTGACGCTGGATCAACGTTTCCCTAGCGGTGGCCAAAGGCAAATGACTCCAAACATGCGGACTGCCCAACCCCACAAGGCATCTGATTGAACTTGGGCAGTTGTTTCGGGCAAAAAGGGTCCCCCTTCATACAGTCCTGACACCAAGGTTAACGTTGCTCACTTAGACAAGATGCACTTTGCATCTTGGTCAAAAAAGCTGTTTGTCGGGTTGGCAGGCATCGTCATAGACCCCTTTGTCAGCCATTTTAACCACTGAAGGCTCCTGAGGGAAACCGCCCACATAAGTTCTGACTATGGCTTCTCATGCCTCACTTGGTTGATTTCAAGGCCGGAGGCCTACCGCACGCGGAAAACCCCCCACATCAGGTCCTTAGGCCCAGCGTGCGACCGTGATGGCACGCTGGGCCCCGGCCTGAAAGGAAGCGATCATGCCGCTTTTGCCATACTCTGAAAGGCAGACACACTAAGACTTAAACTAAAGCCCTGAAGAATTGACGTCCCGGTCCCTTTTGGATCACAACCCAACTGGGCTTTCACCTCCCCTAACCCAGGCTACGGGCTCGAAACACGTCCGAAGCTTCTCCAAAAACTTGGGGGCTGTAGATCCCCCAGCTAAAGCTTAATTTTCTGCCGGTTAAAAGGACATATGAGGGGAATCCAACAAGTTCTTCAGTCTAAAGATCCAAACCAACAGCAGTAGAGAAAAAAGGCCCCGGCCTCGCAGGCGGCCTTCCAATCGCGCTCCGCCTCCATGACCACGAACTTTATCATCGTTGACATCAAGACGAAAATAATCACAAAGGCCACGGAGCACAGGAACTGCCTCACATCGTTTCCAGCGTTTCCACCTGGTGCAGGCAGACTGAATATATACGGATTCCTTGCCTCCCAAATTGCTTTATGTTTCTTTGTTTTTTTTCGGCCTGAAACGTGGGTCCTTGACTGCTCAGCTACTCAGAACCCCTTCGATTAGTGGTTTGGATTGGTCTGCATTGGCGGTTCGGGGTTTGGGGGGGTTCCCATTCACCCTCCACAAGAACAAGGGCCTCCAATCTGCAGGACCCGCAAAAAAAAGAAGGACTTGTCAGTGACTCTGGAAAAATCGGAACCGGCCAGTGAGTTAAGCTCACCAAAAGGGCAAGAAGATGAGTGAGGGACCCACCCATTGGAAAAAATGGACTCCACTGAATTGGGCTCCTGCAAGTGGCTCGCTCCTGGCTCCGAGATGCCAATCCCAGCTGGCTTTGTAGTAGTTCCAGCGGTTGTCGTGCCAAGTCATCTCATCGTGCTTTGCGAGATTGTCCCTGGGCAAGTGCTGTCCGTGCTGTCTGTCAGTCTGGCATTTGCCTAACTCGCACCGACCAGCTGACAACTTGCAGTGCGCAAACAAGAGCCCCTGGCCCCCGAAATTTCAAGTCGCAAACTCAGCATTCAAGCTGCGTGCGAAACCAACTCCGGCCTCATGCAAATGACCAGTGGTTGCTTTGATGTGGCCTTGGGAAACCTAAGGAAACCCGTGGCCGAGTTTCGAGTTTCAGTGTGTTTTGATCATCCTGCAGCTCGGAGCAACCCCCGAAGAATTTGTACATTCAACAATCTGCCCCCCCCCCAAAAAAGAAAAACAACATGTCCTCGACGCATGAAAATAACATGAACGTCCAAATCAACATACAACGAACAAAAGTGCTTAAAGGCTCTCCCCCAGCTTCTCTTCATGGTCTGGCCCCAGATCTTTTTCTGGGAATCCGTACTTGAGATGAGATCCGCGACTTGGAACCAGAAAACTTGCCAGGCCGCACCATGAAATCGCCTTTCAGAATGCTGACGCCCTGGCGGGCATCCAAAGGCAATCTTCCATTTGGCTTTGCGACCCCTGGAATTGGCACAGGAGCTCCTCCTAGCGGCCGTTGAAAAAAATAGAAAAATAAACACATTTCCAGTAGTGATAGATTCCCTTGACAACCCACAGGGGGAACAAAACATATATATATATATATATGTATTTATTTTTCTTAAGCAAATGCAAGCAATCCTGTGATATCCTCCATGGGATGGCACTTGGTTGACCATTGGAAGGGGTGCAAAAAACGTCGAATCTTAGCAGTTCAGTAGACTTGGATTTCAACCACGAAACCACAATAAGCAAAAATGGGGCGCCCATATGTTGCCCAAAAACGCCCAAAAAACCTTATGGTTCACTAAGCCACAAAACATGTTCCCAACAACAACCACGGGGCGCCCTTTCGAAAGGGCTGCCTCAGTTCAAAGGGGAAGATTTCCCCGGGCGGGATCCAGGCTTGGAACAAACAAATGCTTCGGCTGTTCAATCCCCAACTGGGATACCACTACAAAGGCGGCCCGTTGCGGAACTCAAGGTAAGGATCTTGTGGATTGCCTTTGAACAGCCCAGATGGCAATCCTATGCCTAGTGGATGTTGGGAAGAAGGGCCGCCCTTATTTGGCTGAGAGTTGCAACGGAAACCATGCCCGAAAGAAGCAAAAAGGGTGGAACCCACGGCTCCTGTATTTGCTTTTTGTTGAATCACGTATTTTGAAATCACGCCGGGGGTCCAGGTGATTCTTTTTGCTTATTGAAATCACGCTTGGGGGGTGCCAGAGTGCTTCTTCTGTTGAAATCACGGAGAAAAAAAGAAAACACTAGGACCGCCAGGCGTGATTTCCAACGAAAAAGCGAGGCCCCAGAGGCGTGATTTCAAAAACAGCGCAGCGCCAAGGCGTGAATTCAAATGAAAAAACACCCCGGCCCACGGGCATGAATGCCGCAAAAACACGCACCGGGATTTCAATCATGTTTTGTTTTTTTTTTTTAAAGGAGAAAAAAAAAAAACGGGACCTCGCAGCCGTGATTTCAATAAAAAAGGAGCCCCCAGGCGTGATTTCACAATCAGTGACTCCAAGAAGGAAAGGACTGGAGCCGGCGAGATTTCAAAAAAGAACAGGAGCCCCAGCATGCTTTCAGGGAGAAAACGGGATCGGGGTGTTCTTTTCTTTGGAATCACCAGTCGCTCACTCACTTGCTTGCTCGCATCGTCTTTGAAAACAACGGGAATGCAAAATGAGAAAGTTCAAAATAAACACGGCTGGTGTATGTAAAACACACACACACAGGTTCCGGAACCCACGGGGAAACTGGGGTAGAATGCCTATGCCAAAGCCCAGCTAAGCAGCCAGCTGGTAACATGTCTAGGTGTCCTTTTCCATTCTTTGGCAGTGGTGTGAAAATTGGGCGCTGTGATAAGGGTATTTAGGTCTGGGATTTAGCTGAAGGGTTGCGAGCTTGCAATCATGGCTGTGGGTTAGCGCCAAAGCCAAGCAACATCTTTGCGATACTGGGCATGTGCTGCTTCACGCACTGTCTGAACACGTCTACTTAGATGTGCCGGATTTAGCTAAGTTGGTAGTATCCATGGTGGAAACCCATTTAGTTTGACATTGTCCCCTTTGTGGGTTACAAACAGGCTTAGTAACAGCAACTTTTAGCTGACTCCAAGACAATCTAAGTAAGAAGCACCACATGCGGCTAAACATGAAGATCTGCTGGGTTCCCTGCTAATCTTGAAGGGGGCCGGCCTCCAAACAAAGGTCGCTTCCTGCCTGCGCGTCATTGTGGAACTTCTCCAAGGCTGCTTGCACCTCAGTGATGTATTCCGCCTCCGTCATCACCTGGCTGGGCTCCCATGAGCCATGGGCTCCCATGAGCTGGCCAGAGCTGGCCAAGATGCCCCCCACACCTCCCATTGCTTACAACCCCGAAGAAGACATATGTCCAGTAGTGATAGGTTCCCTTCAAAGCCAACAGGGGAAAAGAACAGCATCTCTTTGGAAGAAAACAGTCCCAGTTTGGGCTTGAGCCCTAGGCAAGGGGTTCCTCCAAAGACCCGGTACCCTGCCAAAGAAGAAATGGCGGCTTGGAAATCATCTGTTGGAAGGGGGGTGGTTCCTGCGGCCCTTGCCCTGGCCCCGGCAAAGTTCAAAAATCCAAGGATGGAGAGACACACGCACGTACAAGTATGTAACGTACGTGTGTTTGGCTGTGTTAATGTATGGCATGTATTCTTGTACAGTACTGAACTCTACTGAAATGGAATGGAATGTATGCAGCTCCAGCTGTAAAGTCGAAACTTGCAAGGGTAGTACACGGAAAGGCGCAACCTTTCAGTACCAGTCCACGAAATGCACTTCCGCAGCTCCAGCTGGAAGTCGCAACCTTTCAGTACCAGGTACAAGCTACTGACCAACCTGCGCTTTCGCCCGGGCTTTCGCGGATCTTTCGCGAAAAATCACCCACGTATCAGAGCGTAGAGCCACCTACTAACACCCACAGAGACACCCACAGAGACACACACAGACACACACATACTTGGGGCACTACCCAGCCAAGCACGTATGATACTATAGCATCACCACCGCTTACCAGCGCAAAAAAAAACAACAAAGGGTTTTAATCAGCTATAGAAGAAAGGCCCAACAGAGAAGATGCACTTCTTTCACGTGTCACCCAGATACAGTTACGCAAAACTTTCGCGACAAAAACAGTTGCTTGCGCAACTCCATCGCAACTCTTTCGCGGAGGTACCTCTACCAACACCGATGGTCACCGAGGCCTGTAGAACGACTCCCATATGGCTGTGGGTCAAAACCCTGTACCCCTGGTGAACGTCAAAATAGGTGGCAAATGAATGTTCATCCACCCCGAAATGGAGCCATAGGTTATGCCCCATGGCCATATCTACATGTGAACAAACTATTGCATGCCCCCCATCTCAAAGTCAGAGCAACGTCTTCTGTCACCAGCCAGAGGGTGTTCAACGATGGTGTTTTCGCCGGCCGGGTAGGGACAATCTGAAATTTGTACTTAGATTGTCTGGGACTCAGCTAAGTGGCTGTGGCTCAAAAAAGTGGTACCAAAATGGCACCCTGGTAAATGGAGCCAAAGACTAAAACCGGCGTAACCCCAGCTCTTTAATTTTGAGCCATACCCAAGTGGGTATGTAGTAGTAACTTCAGGAACCCCTGGTTGAAGGGTTGACCGGAAAAGCTCCCCAGGTCCACCCCTTACCAACCCCGAAGCGGGTCGAAAGCGACTGTGGCACACCTGGAATGTCGAACAACATGGTACAGAGAAGGGAGAGTGGCGTTCCCCCACAAAGTGATCAGGATCCCCTCTATAATGGGACACTCCTCTGCTCATCAACCAGGGGTGTCAATCCAGTCGAAACTAAAGGGAAACCCATCAAACATTATTCGGAGGATTAACAGAGGGTCCCAGTGGTGGGAGCGAAGGGGCGCTGCTTGTGCTGGCAGTTGATAGGTGGGTGTGGGTCAAAACTAGGTATCCAAAATGGAAACAAGGACTAAAACCTGCAGTCCGGTGCCTCACTAGGCAGGGTCTACTTCACATGGCTCCAGGCTTTCTAGGGTTGTGGGTTAGGAGCCTAGCTAAGGCCCGTCGTTTCGCAACTCTCTGTCAAACAGGGGTCCCATGTGGGTGACATAAGCCATGTTCATGCATCAAAAAGGGTGCCCTACTGTATTAACAAGCAAAGACCCCCCTTCCCCCGACAGGCCCCCCCGCTGGAAAAGGAATGCAGTTTGTCAAACAAGCTGGGTTGCTCAAAATGGGGAGATCCCTAGTCCTAATCCTAACCCATCGTGGGACTCCAAGGCGAAACCTGATCCGTCTGGCCTCAGGATCGCTGATTGAATTTGGAACAACCCAGCCGCTTTGCCGGGAACACCAAACGATGGGTGCCCCTGAATCCCACCTTGTTGATGGTCAGGTCCACGTGGACTGGATGCATCAGCCGGGCTCCCAAGCTCAGCAAATACACCCAGCCCCGCCGGTTCCTGAGCTGATGACACCCTCAGGGCTCCAACTTGTTCGACGGCTTTGGTGCTTTGGATCCCTTTTGGAGTCGGGTGGTTTCCAGGATTTACCCAAGAACCAGCTTACTTTCCCGAAGCCTACCAACCTAAACCACCCATTGGGGGTTACCTGACTTGCAGGCTCAAACTCAGCGGTTGCCCTTCCCAGAGCCAGTCAACCATCCACACCCGCGGGCTTCCGTCTACATGGAGGCAATCCACAAATGGAACCTCGAGTTGTGGGAAATAACTTGTGTGATACAAACGTGGGGAGCCATCCCTGTGTAGCTAGAAGCTATGTATTGGGGCTTACGAGTTTCCAACGCGGAAGGTTCACAAACTAGGCACTTGGGCGGCGCACCCGATCATCAAATCTCCAACTACCACTGAGCAAAAAACAAACGCCAGGTCCGCATCAGCCACGTATTGAACATTGGCACGTGTGAGACTCACTTCCTGAGTGGGTTGGCTAAAAACAAGTCAAAGCTTTCCGTTTACCACTAACATGATCTTCCCAAAAAGCTTAAACACCAGGAACTGAGGACGTGAAAAGACCGTGTACGGAAATAAGCTCGGACTCAAAAGCTGCAACTCGTCTCCTTGGGGCCATTGGCAACATGTGGCGACTTGCGTCCATGGCCCTGGGAATCCATGCGTTGCTGAAACAAAAAGAACAAGCACTGTTTCTGGGATTTGAACCAGAAGTCCATTATATATTATGTATCTTAACTTACCAAAGCACGATGGTGGTATTTGCAGCGGATTTGAAACCGAGTAAAAGAGCCGCAAAGCCGAAGGTTTTAGGCGCAACTCGACGGTTGAGAAAACCACTTGCAGAGCCATGAAGCGCCATGCGAAACCAAGCGGTGTCGCTCGTTTTCAGGCGCGGGTGCTAGCAAGGCTCTGGTAAGCCTCTTCGCTGTTGTACCACCACAGCGTCTGCAATGTGGCATTCGTACCCACCGGCGTGATCTTAACCTGCGAAGCGAGTTGACAAAATATGCTGCAAGTGGCTTCCGAAGTACTTTGCCGCCGTCCCCCCTTGCGCAATGTTTATTGTTGGCTTAGCGCGGAAAGCGAACATTTCGCAAACACAAATCGGGAACCAGATCAAATAATCCAGCCAAGAGCAGGCATCGGTGGCAGGTTTCTGCAGCATAAGGCTAGCGCGTGTGTGTGTGAGAGGGAGAGGGAGAGAGCGAGAAAGAAAGAAAGAAAGAAAGAAAGAAAGAAAGAAAGAAATAAAGAAAGAAAGAGCGGTACTGCCTGTATCTCGAGCTAACTGGGACCTTTTTTGGCGCACGCTCATTGCCAACTACCTCATATGAACCCACGTTGTTTGAGCAGAAAAGGCGAAGCGCCACAGGCAGTGGCAGGGGGTCAAACAACATGGTTCATCCCACTCCCTGAAGAAAACACATCCTTGATGGCCGCCAATGTTCAAAAGAAACCAGCCATGGCAGGGGGTCAAACAACATGGTTCATCCCACTCCCTGAAGAAAACACATCCTTGATGGCCGCCAATGTTCAAAAGAAACCAGCCATGCATCAATTCAAAAGAGTGAATCCTCCGAAAGCCCTCTAAAGCCAAACAAATTCAAAGGTTGACCGCTGCGAAAAGTCAAGCTGCTCTCGGCGCGTGCGTGCGGAAACAGTGATGTTGACCAATAGGCTCAAAGGATATGTTATTGTACAAAGCCACAAGGGAACCAATCATTCAAACTTTCATTTGTGGTCGGGTCAGAAAGATGGATAATCCCTCCACACGGATGTTGCGACCACTGGACCCAGTTTCCCTTTCGGGCATGGGTGGTTTCTTCTCCCTGAATCTGGGTTTCGGCTTTTCTGGCGCCAGAGCCAAAGGTTCTATGATTCTCACAAAGCCCAAGGAGTATCCACATCCGGAAGCTTCCCAGAACCCCCTCGCGGCCTTCCGTCCAAAGCCATTGCCGGATTGGCTTGATGACGCTTATCTATTCGAATATTTGCCTCACGCCTAGTCACCAAATAAAGTAAGATACCGGAACCTTTCCGAACCCCGAAGCCGCTCCCACCCCGGAACTCCGGATAGAGCAAAGACCCAAGCTTTTAAGGTACTCTAAAACCAAGACCTCCCCCCCTCACTAAACCAACCCTACACAAACCCACCACTGAACCCACCCTACACCGACCCTCAAAGGACCGGCGGCGGGTCAACATCGGAGACGTGACACCGTGACTCCGCCTCCATGGACCCGAGCTCCCCGAACTCCCTGATCTTTTGTGCCCAGATGTCCTGACCCGACGCCTCTCGCTGGTCATTTTTTGCCCGTTTCAACCGCCAACTTCCGATTCTCCGCCCGACATGAAGGCGGCCTCTCGTGGGTTTCCGCCGGAAAAAGAGAGCAACCGGCGGTTCGGTGAGAATGGCCTGAAAGCAAAAACAGGGCCGGGTGTCACTTGTAACAGAAGGACCTGGAACTGACCGAGCTTCCGGCATTTCCGCGGCGAACATCACCCCGTCACCTTAAATGGGCCAAAAGGGCGATGTGTAAACAAAAGGGCGCATAGAAACCGTGCGTCTGCAAATGGAAGGAAGGAACCAGAAAAGGCGGCCCCGGAAAAGGAGATTCTGAACGATCCGGGCTCCATGTTAATCTGTAGGGTGCCCTGTATTGATCGTTTGCAACCTGGGAAAAGAACAGGCCGACTGGAAATCCAAGAGGTCAAAAGGAGCAACTGAAAGGGCTCTATGAGCTGAACATGTCAGGCCAACGTGGCTTTGGACTGTTCCGAGTTCCAATTCCCCAGAGAGTCGCGCAAAGTGCCACCAATGCCTAGCATATAAGGTAATTACCAGGCCACTTACCAAGCAATTCAGATGCAAACACGACTTGTCATCTAAGTGGCTAACTCTGGGTTCCAGTAAAGGTCACAGGCGAGTAACATGCCTGGTTAAGAAAGCGCCGCCGCCTGCGGTTTTCTTCGGATGTCTGCTGGTTTAACAAGTGTGCGTCATGCTTGGCCACGAAATTGGTGCGAGCCGATCGAATTGTGGAGAACACTTCTAACTAAGAAACATCTTACCCCCCACCCCCTCTCCACCGCAGCCCTGGACAAGCAGCCCACCGCTGACAACCATGGCGACATGCACTATCAAGAACAACACCCAAATCTACCAGTTTCTTATCCGCCTGCTTCCTGTGGGCGCAAGCTCGGGCACACATGCTGTGCTCAGCTATGGTAGGGCCAGCTAGCCCATTGGTTCTCAGGGCAACGAGAATTGGGAACCCCTGATGGCTTGATCGGGCGCCAGCTTCTAGAAGTTCCCGTTCAAGCCACCGAGTTTTCCCTGCGCCCTCTCAAAGGCCGACAGCGCGATCCACTCAACCACTCAGCAGTGCCACAGTACCGAGTACTAAGGCAGTTACTAAGGTGCAGTTTGCGGGATCCAGTGCAAAAGGCATCCAAACTCTGATGCGGGCCTCCGGAACCACCCGTTCGGCAGAAAGACTTTCTCGCACAAAACATCATCAATTGATTTCAAATCCGGCCCAACAGAAACAGAATCTAAGTTTCGGATGCTGCCTCAAGCCCTCAGAGCGCCACTTAAAAACTACCTCGCGGTTTGGGGTTCAATGCGACGTCACTCTTCAATTGGACAATCTGAGGTAGCAGCCAAAAAGTCATGGGACCAGCCAAGTGGGTGCCTTGATTCTGCCTACCTAGACTCTCCTTGACCTCTAAAAAAGGGTGTCAGGCCCAAAATTGAGGGGTCATGACCCCTTTTTCTAGGGGTCATGGAGACTCTAGGTACTAGTACATGCCAGCTACCAAGGAACATTGATGCACTCGGACAGGTCCTAAGACTGGAACTGCTCTTGGAGGGTCTGCAAAAGGAACTCTAAAAAAACACACACACCCCTTTTGTTCGTCCTATTTCAGACATCATCCAACCCTTTATCTTTCCCTTGCCCCGTAAGTTCAGCGGCAAACGACCCTGTAGGCCCATGGGAATATCCCGTGTCCTGCACATTCAAGTCCACCAAGCAGTTGTCCTGCAGGGCTGGGACATCATGAACCACTGCGGACGCAGGTGCGCAGACAAAATAATAACAACAACAATAACATGTTTCATTTTGCTTTTCTAAAAAAAAAGAAGAAGAAAAAACAGTCGTGAAGAACAGTTGAAAAACAAAGCAGCCTGCCTTCTCCTAATGACCCAACTGTGAACATGAAAAGCGAGCCAAGGAGTCAACCAAACCATGGTTTGAAACATGAAAACAACACGCCAAGATGAACAAATGACCCAATTCCGTTTCAATCCAGTTAAGAAGTCGTACCGCAAAGCATACATTGGATTTCACCAATCGTCTATCCGGCTTGGCCTGGCAAAACCTTTGACCCCCTACGTCACGCTGGTCTAAACTCCAACGCCTGAATCTCACAGAGTTCCGGACATGTCACGCCCGGAGAGGTGCGGAGCCTCACACAAGGCGACATATGAAGTCTCACACACACACATGTTCTCGGGTGTGCCTTTTCGGTTAGCTTTGGGCGCAAGAAACTACCAGTCATCGAGGGGAGGTCTTCCCTCAAGGCGAGACTTTGGGCAAAGGATCTATGAAAGGTGGGACTCGGCGAACGAAAGGACCAACTTAACTACTTTAGGACACCCCCAGCCCCCTCCAAGCTTAGGACCCCCCCCGCCCCCCCCAAGATAAAAGAAGAAAAAGGTTGTTAATGATTTTGGTTAAAACGGAACATTCGACAGAAGTCAAGGCACGAATTGCCACATGGAGAGCGAAGTCCGGCCTTGAAAACGCCATGGGCTGAGAGCTTTGACGCGAACAGTCCTCGACTGAAGACACCGAGGTATTGGCCCCAAGCGTGCCAGTGATGCTGGAGACGGCTTCCACAAAGGGATGCCTCGGCAACGTAGCCTGAAACGATCTCCGAGTGCGCACCATATCACCATGCAACTCACCAAACGTCAACTGCAATGTTGAATCAACTGAACATAATATGAATGATCAAGCTGGAGATGGGGAAGCCGATTTACCTTGACATTCATCCTTACTTGGCTGTGGGACAAAAGAAGGTGCCCAAAATGGGTTGCCCTGTTAAATGAAACCAAGGACTAAAACCTGTAGTCCCCTGGTGCTTGAAAATTTTGGCCCTTACCCACTTCCCAAATGCAAGTTCGAAACCTGACGGAAGGCATCCCCGCGTCTTATGGCTGTGTTTGTTTGCATCAGTCCTCGCCTCGGCCGCTTCTTCAACGCATACCTGTATGAGTTGTTGTCGAAAAGCTATAAGGACTGCTGCAAACCAAGATGACATGGTATATCTTTGTATATGGGTAGAGACACTGATACATGTCAATTACTAGCCATTGCTATCTGCATAAACAACCCTTGCCTATATCAATGCGAATCTATGCATATGTGGAAGCTATGATTTGTTTACGTTTCGTTACACATTTGCGCAGGTGTCTACAGAAGGTACCAACACTGGTTGTTGAAAGTAAAGAGTCAACGCAGTCTAAGCAGAAGACCGACATTGACAGCAAGTCGGGATGTCATGGATTCCTCATGGTAGCTGTCAGGATGTCACCAGCATCCATGAGTTCTTGTTGTTTTGGCAGTGTCCCAAGCGTCAAAGTGGGAACGTACTCCAAGCATCATGGCAACACAATTTCTGCATTCAGACATGTCCATCCGACCTGACACCAATGTCCAACGGAACCTTCATGAGAAAAAGGTCGCAAACCCAAATCCTTCGTGGCGTCATTTGCGCACATTGTCTTTGAAACGGCTTCCACCGGGTTTGCCCTTTGACATTTCCCCTTCGTGCAAGCCACCATGTCTGGGGGGAAAACAACAAATCCGGCGAGCGCCTTTAATCCTGACTCCAGTTCCAGTTTGAAAGGAGCGATCTGGAAACATCACGCCATGTGGCAAATCCCCTTTTGATTCCCACTTCGGAACTCCAACGAATGTGGGCAAGCAAAGGTTGACTAAAAACAACCAACTGAAGGTAACTTCAGGTTTTGAATTCAAAGTTTTTCAAAGGGTGACAAAAAATCACCAACTGAAGGTAAGTAACTTCAGGTTTTGGAATTTGGTGGGGAGGGGGGGCCAACCAAAATCTGGGAACTTAAGCCATCCCCTTCCACCAAAATGTTGGTCTTGCTTTTGGCTCTCCTTTGAACCAACCTAAACAGAGCCTGAACAAGACTCTCACACACACACACACGCACAAACGAACATGGCTTTCTTTAAGGATGCTGGTTTTCGCGTTGGTTTCCCATCGAAACCAAACAAATGGGTAGCCTCCAAAAGCACTTAAGCATGCTAAGAAAATACTTAGAGATAGACAATGTCAGTACTTGCATCCTTTACATCCTGTCTTTTTCTATAGGGGACCCCTCCAAAAAGGCGATGGATCCTTTTGGTTTTCAACTTGAGAGCCACCGCAGCGATAGAACTTGGACTCCAGCGGGGTCTTTGGCCTGTGGCACATTTGACCCCCTCGTAGTGAAGGATTCCCTTGGGGGGTTTATCTTGAGAACCACAAAGGGGGTAAATGACAATGCAGGTGTCCTAAGGTAAGCTCAGTGAGGACTGAAAAATGTCATTTGGACCAACCCGAGCCATCTACTTCCACCCAATGGGACAGTTCCAATCGTTGAGGCAACGCACGTCGAGCACCACCAGCTCTGCAGGTAGAGCCCTGCCACCGCGAAAGATCCGAAGATCAGCGCCCGAAGAACCGCCAGGCAGAGTCGCCACTCGCCTGGGTCCGGGTGGATGGATCCCAAAAGATTGGGTGCTGTAGATTCCCCAGCACTTGGTTGTTCTTGACCCCCTGCAAAAAGTTTAACTTTCTGGGGGTTTAGTGGAAAACACCTTTATTTCCCAACAAGTTAAAGTCTAAAGATCCAACCCAATAGCAGTCAAGAGCAAAAAGCTTAACTTTTGCTGGTTGAAAGGAAGTATGAGGGGAATCCAAAAAGTTGTTCAGTCTAAAGATCCAACCCAATAGCCGTAGTTTTGCCTGTCTCGTTTGAACAAAGCGGCCCAAGATGTGGATAATTGATAATCGTCCTTGTGATACTTCGGTTCTCATGACGTTTCACTTTACAGGAGATTGGTATCACACAAAGTGGCCCTTAAAACTGCAATCTCCAGCAACCATGGACACAGGGCAAGGAACTGCCCAGAACCATGTCTAGGGGTTGATTCGGGCGGCTGGGGGATCGCAATGAGTTGGCACGGCAGTGTCCTAGAAGCTTCACGACTTCATTCGATCGGGAAGGGATGGTCGGCGAACCTGGTCTCCATCCTGCCTAAGCTCCAAACAACCAATGATCCAAGTCAGAAATTGGAGGGATACAGCTCTATTTCCTTTCTGGTGGCTTTAAGAAGTAAAACACTTGAATATTATTCAGGTGAGTTTCCTTGGTGGTGCTGTGTGGGATCTGCTTGAGTCCACTGCGAATTTCAGGGGATGCCACTTGGGAGCCAGGGGCACCAGGTAAAACCAGGTGGGGAGGCATGGCTCACACAAAGATCGATATACCAAATATATGTATATATATATATATGTGTGTGCGGACGTATACATTATTAATCAATTACGCGTAAAAAGGAACACGTACAGGCATGCATCCGTATGTTAGTTTTATACCACTCCCAATTCCGTGCCTGCACCAACCCAATTGAAGCAAGTGCCCTGACTGGAACCTAGGTAACGCAATGATGATGGCATTGCAATTTAAGGCCAAAGCTTAATTACCTGGGAACACTAGTGCCGCCTATGGCCGCTCACAACTTGTCTGCGCAATCTCTTCACCCCCAGTTCTAAGAGCAACTCGTTGGGCTCAGGTGACTCGCACTTCCCAAATGTAACCCGTGTCCTGCAGAACCAAGACTCACTTCTTGAGTGGGTTGGCCAAAAACAACTCCAAACTTTTGGGTTACACGAAAATGGCCTGTCCAAACAGGTTTAAAGTCGTTCGAAGACGCGCGCCCCAGATGGTTGATGTCCTTTTGGTTCGGCTTCCAACACCCCCCACGTCACGTCCCGGTCACCTTTTATATGCCAGGTGTCTGGATACCTCTGGATCGGCAGAGAGGCGCTGGATGCCTTCCAGCAATGCTTGGCGAACCATCTCGTCGTCCTCGTCCGCCTCCTAGCGGGGGGCGGAGGGTGAGGGGGCGAGGGTGAGGGGGTGAGGGGGCGAGGGGGGGGGGCTGAAAAAGATGAGCATCCAAAGTTGCGCTTCCTTTTGAGCATCCAGTGAAGTCCCGGCGACGCTCGGTTGGGCGACAGCAGTTACATGCCTGAGACTGATGCATGCTGTTGCCTGCTGAGGGCTTGTTGACGAACCTGGGTCGTTGACTCATTGATCACGATATCAACAACTGGCCGGTTATTCTCAAAGTGATGAAGCGAACGTTTGACGCTAAGTCAGCGGGATGGATGACTGACCCACTGCGGCGGCACCTCGCTCAGGGGCACAGCTGTTGGATGCACGCTGGTCGTCGCCGTCCGCATGACTCTCCAAGTTGGGCCTTAGAGCATTGGCATCTGGGCAAATGTTCATGATTCTCAAGCAGTAAGTAAGGAATCTCCAAGTAAGGCATCCCCAAGTAAAACAACCTTGATCCTGTATGGACCCATTTTTACAGGCCCCAGGTGAGCCCACTAACTCAGCAACGGCTTCAGCATCAACCCATGTAGCTCTGGTATTGGTAAGAACCCCTGACAAAGGCCGCAGCCGGGGAGGCTCATACATGGAGGCCAACGAAAACCGGGGGGAAAAGAAAAAACACGACAACGTGTACTCGGTTGCTTTCTGCTCCCCTGCTAAAAGTTTAACTTCTAGTGGTTTAATTGAAAACCCACTAGTTGGCTAAAAGTTAAAGTCCTAACATCCAAGCAAAATGCAACAAAGTGTATATCCATCAATTCGGCAAACATCAACTACAGCCCCCTCTCCCCCACCAGGGAAACTGGCACCTTGCAGGGAGTCCGGGGCCCGATGTGTTTTGGTCCTTTAGTGACCCACACCAGGTGACCGTAGGCTCGATCCTCTCAAACAGGGCTCCCTACATTTCCCCTCAAAACGTCACCCCAGAGGGAAACTCACCTTTCATGGCCAAAAACGGGTGATGTAAAAAACAAAACACCAAAGATTGAAATATGGGGACCCCTGTCAAAGGACACCTTCGCCGAGCCAACTGGATCAACCAGATGCGCCCCTTTCCCTCAGCGCAAGTGCTTAGCCATGAGCTGAACGACTGCATGGCGATGGCTCATGGGGCACGTCACGAAAAAGAGAAAAAGACATCAGCGCCCGTTCAAAGTTTGATTTGTTTATGCTCTGACCATTCGCTCGCAAAGAAAAGTAGAGTAAAGCTCATTTACGCTCAGATGCCCAGTGGCCATGGGAAAGCGAGGGCGTCCTTTTTTGGTTGGTTGAGTTTAAAGGGGAACCCTTTTCAAAAACAAAGGAAAAAAGGGCGGAATCCACTGGGCAACTGGATTAACCAAGGCTTTCAGCACAGAAACTCTACTCCTTTGCGCCTGTTAATGCGCTGGACCCCCGAAAAAAGAGAAAAAACAGCAGCCATGCAATGCAGGCTGAGCAGGACCCGCCTTTCAAGGCCATTCTCCTAGGTTCACTCGTTCAGATTCAGACAAGGGAAACACTGAAAGGGGGTTTGCCCATTTCAAAGGTGGGAATCCCCATTTCAATTTGGAGAATTCCCACTTGGCATTTCACGAATGGTTTGGATCCGGGATATGTCTGCAGCCGAAGCCGCTGCGCGCTCACAGAGTCACGCCACTTTTGGCGCCCTGCCGAAACCGCCCGGCCCAAGTTCTGTCTGAGCCCGGCGGGGAGCTGATGTCATCGGAAGCCCCGTGCGAAACGCATGATAAATTTGGGCAGGCCCCGTGCCCTACCCACAAAACGTGTCAAGAATTAGACCAGCAGTATTTGTTTAGTCACCTGGTCATGTGAATGCATCCCATGGCCGGCCTCGGCTCCCCGACCCAACTTGGGAGGACCCTGAAGCAAGGCCTGTGAGAGCATTTCCAGGTCCAAAACTGAGACTCCCAACAGCGGCCCCAAAGAGCTTTCTGAAGTCCAGGGCTCGGTGACAACCGAGCCGTGGAACCCAGGCGAGTGCGGTGAAGAATCGCTTAAGAGTGGCCGCGCAGAAGTCTTCGGCTGGGGCTTTCAAAAGTCATGTGCGCAGTCACAAATTGGAGGAGAGACCCAGCCGTGATCTATTTGGCTATTCCGGAAATTCCGGCTCGTTAAGCTGCACGTGTTGCCACGCAACGACGTTCAAAGCAGAGATCCGGTACAGTTGGCTAAAAAAAACAACCACGAGTGCTGTGTTCGGGGACTCCACCCGCAAATCGACTCCAAAAAACACGGCCAAGCTAGACAAGAAATGTCAAAACCTGAGGTCTACACTACAGTTCTCTGAAAGTAGCCACAACATTCTCCCTTAACCATGCCCTTTACTCGCACTATTCACGGGGACTGGTGTCTACGATCCAAACCCCCCCGGCAAACCGAGTCTGGACGCCCCGTGGCTTCGGCTCAGCTTTTTGCGCGCGCCAGAAGGGATCGCAGGCCGTCCGGCGCGCCGGTCGATCGGCGTTGAATGGATTTGCATGTGCCATGTACAAGTCCAGAACCGTCAGGACTTGCGACTTGAAACAGGCCAAACTTGGCTTGAACAAAGGTAAGGTGTCTGAACATCCCAATGTCAGCTCTCAACAAGTTGAATGCACCATACTACAAGTGTCAAACGGAAATAACAACTATAACATAATTGCGGGCACTTTCGAACCAAGACTAAATTCATCATAGAAGAAACATGGTTGAACATAATTTGTCCCCTCATCTCATGTGTATGTACCTCAGCCTCTGCCCAACCGAAAATGATATGTTTGAGTCTTCTCCATATCTGGTGAACCCTGAAATGCGGAACAATTTTGAACAGCATCCTGGTCTCATTGCAGGGTTCCCTACATCTCCCCTTGGACACATCACGCCGCCCAAAGGAAAACCTCACTTCAAACAGCCCCAAAAGCTACTGTTTCAAGTCGCAATGTAACATTTAGGGGGGGCCTCTGTGTATCAGCTGCTTTTTGGCCGCACCGGCGCTCCGTCTCACGTCTCATGTCGCTTTTCTGCGAACTCGGGGGGCGGAGATGCGGCGCATCCGGAGCGAGGTGCCTCAAATTGCGCTTCGACCCTACCGATTGGTTGGCATGTTTTAAGGGAAACAAACAGGAAACCCGCTAGCAATTTTAGACCATCATTTTGCAATCCGCCCCCCCCCCCCCCGCCCCCCCCCCGCCGAATTTTGGCCGGTTGCCAGGGAAAGCTGGTAACTTGGTTTGTAAGAGGATATGTTAGGTGCCTTGGAAGTTTTTGAGGGGCTGTAAGCTTACAAGGGGTTGGCCAGACTTTTCTTAGGATCCAAAGCCCGCCGCCCATAGTTTTGTATGGCTTTGATGGCGAAGCCGAATCATATGATCATCAAAGGCTTGAAACAGGAATCAGCCTCAAACAGTTGAATGAAGTTCTGAGGGAACATATGGATTGAATAAAGTTCAAACGGAAAATATGGAGCCATGCCTGTCTCCACAACATTTCTCCAAGCGACATCCGATTGAACATATCCACATGGGGCTTGAACCCGCCTAGCAACAGTATTGCTGGAAGAAAGCCAGCGACAAAGGAACCCGCCAAATTCTGCAGCCAGCCTCCGACTTCACGAGCCTGAAAGCCCACCGAGCGATAAGGGTGTTGTGTGGTATGCCGTTGGATGTTGCATCCTACAGTTTCCTCGCTTCCTGAGTTGATTGGCCAAAAAAAGTCCAAACTTTCTGTTTACCACCAAAATGGTCTTCCCAAAAAGTACAAAGTCCATGAACTCAGGGAGTGAGTTTCTCCGGATACAAACAAAGAGCGTGGCTGAGGACCTAGGGGTGCTAAGGAAAGCCAGCAAACCCGGAAACAGTTCTCGAGCGCAAGGCAAAGACCAGCTAAGGGCCGGACTGGCGCAGTAGGAGGACCTTGCATCGATGCGCTTGGATCTGCGAGTCTCGAGCGCGCGCGCGCGTTTCGGGCGCGTTTTTCGCGTCACACCCTCGCTCTCACGTCAGTGATGAAGTCAACAGCGCCGGCTTGTAGATGTCACACTTGTTGGCCATTGAGGAGCCGACGTCTGGGCTTGACAGCAGGCCGAAGGTAGAGGTTCCTTGGCAAAAGCAAACCCTTGCCTCGAACCAAACAGCTTACCCTCGCAGCAACCAACATGGCTGGGTGCACAGGGTCTCTTTCTTGTTTCCTGAGATGATGGTCCGAACATGTCCAGATGATTTGTCTACCATTTTCGAAAATGTTCACAGCCCACTAATTGAGGAAGTGGGTCGTTCAAAAGGAATGTAGTCCAAAACTCGGGCAACACACGGGCTTAGTCAGCGTTCAACCGAAGCAACCCTGGAATGATGATTCTCCTGTAAGTACCCACAAACAATGGGTTCAACCATAATTTCAAAGTGGTGCAGGAGTTCGTCCATCCACAGTATGATTTATAAATGTTGGTTATTCAGTTATTCATTATTTTGTCAGCAAAAAAGCGAGAGGGTCCCAAACGGATCCAGAAAAGGAGGTTGTGCTCTATGTTGCGGCAATCGCCCCGGCAGAAGGTCCGAATAAAAACCAGTGGGGAACACAAGTGCTCCATGGCAGTTACACTAGTCACTGGGGTCAGTATGTTGACTGTTTCTGGGGGTTGTCAAAGTCAGAAACAGGGGTGGTTTCCTGAAATCTGTTCATGGCAACCAACGATTTTGATAAACCTGTAAAATCGTGAAACTGGAAAACCAGAAACAGAAACTGGTGGGCGGGTCTGCTTAGACCTACCACTGAATGTGGTGGCTTTGAGAGGGAAATGGGGCCTGAACGGCTTCAGGTCCAAAGTCAGACCCCTGCAGCCAACAGCTTGCCCTTTTGCACTGCTTGCGATTTGGGGAACAGAAGGGCCTGGCGCAGAGAGCAGTTGGACAAATAGACCCTGCAGCCAAGCAGAGGGCTTGGGAACCAAACACAACTGCAACACAATTGTTCAGCACCCGAATCTACTTTTGTTGATTTAGCTGCGCTTCATGCGAATACCTCTGCATTCTGCCAAACAATGCTCTCTTTCTGCCTTGCGCCAAGGACTCGCCCATCAAGTTCGCAGGAAGTCTCCTCTGAAATCCGTAGCACATCGTTCCCAAAAGCCAGCTGAACGGAAGCACTTATCCAAAGCAAGTGCGCAAAAAGGAAGCCCCGCAGTGCTCCCATAGGCAAGCACATTGTCGGCCTTCTGATGGCTACAGTTTGGGCTCCATTTCCCCGCTTGTTCCGATGAAACTGCCACTTTTGGCGGACAAATCAGGGGGCGTTGAACATGCCCCTGCTACGTTCCGTGATTGGTACTTAGTTTTCTTTGTCGTGCCCTAGACTACTTGAAACGTGACTGAAAGATGGAAATTCTCGGGAAACACTGTTATAAGGGGCCGAAATAAGTAGAACGGGGTACTGTGGGGTACAAGGCCATGAAGCGAAATTCAGTCGGGACTGTGGACGGTTGCGAAATCCATTTCGCACCACTTTGAAACAGGACCACTCTCAAAGCCCTTGCTTTATCAGAATTTATGGTTTGGGCTTGCAATACTCTGGATGGACGAAATCCTGCACCACTTTGAAACAATGGTTGAACCCATTGTCATTGTTCGTTGGTATTTAGACGGAGTCATCATTCCAGGGATTCTTAGGTACAGGAGCTCGTGCATCCGCAGCATTACAGCAATTTTCTCGCTCCTTATATTATCTCCCCAAGCACCCCCTTTGGCTAGGTCCTCCAGTAGAGAGGTTAGAATAAGGGTACCCTTTTTCTGTAGTCTATTTTAGTAGGGAAACCCTCCCAAAAAGGGTAGAAGGGCACTACTGGGGGACCTAGTTTCATGGCCTAAGATCTCACAGTGAAATCACCGAGCTGAAAAAGATCGACGGCTAGATGGGTGTGCCTTCTCTTCACGCCTTTCTTTGTCGGTTCAATCGACGACCAAAAGGAACACCACCATTTTTGGTGGCCCCCTCAAAAACTGAGATACCCATTGGCCCATCTGATCTTAGAACCGGTGGACCCGCTTTCCAGAATCGCGGACGAATGGTAACGCTTGGGGCGAGACATTGGGCCGGCGCTTCCGCGGTAGCCTGACCAAGTTGCTCCCATGGCTTGGCTTCTCAAAATGGATCCCCGTTTTTACTTTTGGTTGGCAGCTTGCCTCACTTCCGATCGCGTGGATGGGCCAAGAAAAGTAACCAAGCTTTGCTTGTTTACCATTAGCATGGTCCAACCACAAGAAGTGACTGAAGACCAACTCAGGGAGTGAGTGGTGGACCCCCTGCACGTTGGCGTTTAAAGTGAAACCCAAAAGGACACGAACCCCAATGGTCCTCACGACCGCTCAGTCGACATAAGCGGCGAAAACAAAAAAAGCCAGCACAAAGCCCGCCTGAGCGGTGGAAAAAGAGACGAACCCAAAGTGACGAAAGACCAAGACCCAAAGGCACTTTGCCCCCTCTCCTTGGCCCTTCTGGGATCAGCAGCTCGCCCTGGGACACGCGCCGCATGCTCACCATCCTCAGCGGCGTGATGCCGGCGCGAAGGGAGGGGGGGGAGGGGGGGGGGGTGGTGGTGGGACCAGATGACCTCATCCGAGTGGCGCGGAACAACAAAGGCATCTGAACCTCGACGCGCTGCCTAAGTGGATTAAGCGTGGTGTCTACTCACAAACTGGGGCATTCGTCCAAGCACAAGGCTGCCCATTTACGGATGGCTACAATCGAACTTGAGCACGTAAAGCCCTCTTCAGTTTGGCTGACTGTCAATGACTTGGGACCCAAAAGTCCTCCCTCAAATTTGGAAGCGACCACCCGGAATGGGAAGCCCATGGCTCTTGCTTTCGGAGGAGAGGTGTTGGACCGCTTCCCCCCAACCCACCTGGCGCAGGGCAATGACTCAATCATTTTTCAATTCCTACGGCAATTCCAACACCTCAAGCAGGGTATCCCCAATTAAGGGACCTACGGCATGGTGAGCTTGTTTTACCGTCGGTGAACTTTGGCGGTACAAGTCAGCATGACACAACGCTCACCTGCTTAGGTGCCCTGAACATTCAGGAACATGACAAAAAAAGGCCCAAGGCTGGGTAACCAAAAAACAAGTGGGTGACATGCCTTCCCTTTTCTAAGTAACAGTTGTCTGTCAAAGCTTGGATTGGGACTTGCGCACATGCTTATGTTCAAGCCACAGTCATCCCCAGCTGACATATGGTTCGGTGAGAACAAAACTATGCCTGATGGAAAGCTGTGAGTGTGGCAATCCTCACCCTCCTTTGGCCCTCCCTCCCACATGGAACCCACCAGAAGATGATTGCATTGCAGGAAGAAACCGTCGTTCAAGGTCAGGTTCCCCAAGAACCCGGAGAGGCAATACGTAGACCGATGCACATCTCCCAGTTGCCTAGTCACTGTGGTAGGGGGCCCTGTCAAGTTGAGCAATTCTTCTTGGCTGGAATTAGGACCCAATTAAAAAAAACACAACTTTTTTGCCAGGTAGTGGAAAACAAAGGGAACCCCAAAAAAGCCAAAAACATACAAAGGGGAACTAGTTCTGGGGAAGTCTTGTGGGGAGGCCACCAGTCCGAAGCGATGCCAAGTGGCCCATCTGGCAAGGGCTCCATTGCCCAGCACCCGCTGTTGCCGCCTGAAGCTTTCCGGCCGTGAGCTGCAAGCGATGTTCCGAAGCGGTGAGTCAGGAGTCATGGATGGATGGACCGATCAAATAGGCTATAGCCAGGGTCGTTTTGGTTGACCGGCCAAACATTTTGGGTTGAGAGACAAGCCCATCTATTTTACACACAAACAACTACCCGGTAAGGAATGGTGAGCCACGAAGCTCTACATGAACACCAATGTCTTGCAGCTGCAAACTCGCATGGGGCCTTTGGCCCAAAACGGGAGGTCCTTTGGCCCTCAAAAACCCACTCCTCGACCCCAAAAAAAATCCTGGAGCAACTCCCACGCCAATTGTCGGCTCGGGCGCCTTGAGGGCGAACCTCAGCTCGCGGCTGGGCCAAACAAAATGTGGTACGTTCCCTTTGTGCTTTCCTTTGAACCAGTACAACTGTCCTTTGAACCAAGCTGAAATGGACAAAAAAGAAAACGGATACCGGAAAAAATATATACCTCAATCCTAAACCCTAAACCCAATCAAAACCTGGTGAAGACAACAAAAACGGAGACCCTCAACCCTAAGCCCAAACAACTTGCCCAGGACCAAGCGAACCCCGAAAAACACCCAAAACGCCAGCGCCGAGTCCTCCGAGCTTTCAGAAAGTTGTGGCGTTCCTTTCGGTTTGAAAAAATAAGGTGAGGCAGCAAGCACCCTCACAAAAAGTAGATTAAATGGGGGGTTTCTCAAAATGGCGGACCCCTTGGAGGGTTCTAAAGGGAAGCCAAACAGAAACAAGCCATCAAAGGGTCGCCGATTTCGTTGTTGGAACTTTGTGGTGGACATCATTTTACACCGAGTGCACCGAGTGCACCGAGTGCACCGATGTGTGAGGGAGCTCCCGAGTGTGGTGCGGGAGTCATCCAGATGGTTGCTACGAAGCTGATGCGTCTCGAGGTGAAAGCTGGGCCGGTGCTTGACGCGTGGGCACCAGAAGAATCTGATGCGAGCCTTCGCCCCGGGTGGCAACACCCCGTATCTTCCACTGAACTCTTTGACGGCTCAGCGACATGCCGTGCCCGCATAGCTCCATGACCATCTAAGCATCAGCTTTGATGCTGCGCTGGTAATACCTCGATACGCTTTAGATGTTCCATTCGGGGTCTGCGAAAACACCAGCAGCATTGTCATTAGACACCAGACTGCTGGGGCGATCTCTGGGGAATCCGCTGTAAAACATGGTGTGATTTGTTGAGGGTACCCGACCCCTTTGGGCCAGGGTTGTTTTAAAGGGACACCAAAAGCAAACCAATACTTTTTTGGGGAGGCAACAACACCCCACATGGCATTAAACTCCTGACACGTTCCATCAGGCAAACCAAAACTAGAATCTCCTGAAGAGACATGCCAGAGACAAAACCATCAGAGTCTGCGACAAACCCACATGGCTTGTATCGCCTGGCATCTGCTTGGCCTGGCTAAGAGGCTAAGAGGCTTCGAGGCTCGGGCCCAGCCACCAGAGACCAGCTCCACCCAGCCTTCCCAGTATCGACCTGGCAAGGCCATGGTTCGCCGTTCACTCGCCCAACATCACAGGCGCCGCCTGGACTTTCCCGTCAAAATTGATGAAGTTACAGTGGTTTCCCCCCAAAAAAAAGAGATCTGCCTGGTCCCCTTCGAATTCATCAATGTACGGGGTGGTGTCCATAAAAGGTAACTATCGCCACTTTGGAGGAAACCCTGCCGGGGTCAGGTTGCCAACACGAAACCCTTAGGGCTACAAGGTCGATTCGCTTTGGGCTGAGCTTTGACCATCTACCAGGCAGGTCCAAGTGCTCCGGAGCTGACTCCTCCCTCCCTTTGGCCCCCTCCAATGTCCTGCTGTTCGAATACTTACATGCTCCCCCCCCCCATTTCACCCAATTCATAGTCAACCTTCGGATTGCAGTGGTTGGTGTCCAGGGGTTCCCCTGCGAAACTGAGAATCGCAAGCTTCTCCGAGGCGCATGGCCTACATTCCATCCCTCAGAGATTGGCAAGGGTCCGCCAACCTGGCCCCTGACGACTGAGTCCTGGTTCAGACGATTTACTTTTCACCTCTTCCTTTGAAAGGGACCCTCTGGTGACCGGTGGGTTCCAACGTGGACAGGAGGGTATCCAATTGCAACCAGCGATGGTCAGAAAACGGTCACTGAACTGGGGCAAAGCCAAGTCTCTACACATCCTTCCTGCGTCCTTCGAATGTTGACCCAAGTAAACCTTCCACAACTCACATCACTTCCGATCGAGCGCCGAAATGTTGCTGCTTACCACACAAACTGCCTTTTGTAAAAGGATCATCAACTCAGGGAGTGAGCGAAGGTGTTACAGTTCCTTTGCCACAAGAAGGTCACCTGGCAAGGGATTGAACTGCTGGGACGCACAAAGGCTTTTGCCAAAGACGTGTTGGGACTCAAACCCCTCCGGAAGCCAAAGCGGCAGCGAGCGTTGGTTTAGCCCCCTCAGAGTCTGCAGGGGAAGCAAAAAACACAACAGTCAAGCGAGCTGCCAGGGGTCGCTCCGGAAGAAGGGTCCAAGCTCGCAAGCTTGCCTTGACTCGCATACTTAATGAGCCGAATTGACCAAGCCTCACCTTCCAAGCTTTCGCGTGTGCATGAGTGCGCAGGCGCGCAATGACCGCGCTGTGCGCGCACACACCGCACGTGTTCGCACCAATCGCATGCGTCGCTTTTGCGCGCATCACACTCACAGAACACGTCAACATGCGCCGTGTTTTCAAATTTGCAGGCGGCAAGCATTGCTGGGAGTTTTCGAAGTTGTTCTGTGTGTTGCGTGGGGATACTGTGTGCGCAGGCTGCGGCCACCGCGTTGCTCGTCTGCACTGCGCATTACAAGACAATGTCCCGAAAACGTCTTTTTACATCACTTCAGCAGCTCCATGCCAACTGCTTGCCCATTAAAAGAGCCACTAAATGCAACTAAACTGCCTGAATTGCATGCAATTCTTGGCCTTGGTGCAATTCTTGGTCTGCAATTCATGGCCTTGGTCTTGTCAATTCTCGGTGTGTTTCTTCCTTTTCTGCTGTTGAGGGCTCGCATCGAAGCTGCTCGCAAGCGATGCCACTGCAGAATGCCATCCAGCCGAAGCCGGAGAACTTGGCGGCCGCGGAGCACGTGGATTTTTGAGAAGGGCAGCTCGACTCAAGCCCCTGGAAAAGAGATGAGAAGCACAAATCCAGCAGTGAAAAGTCCATGCCTTGCAAAACCAAGGGGCTTTCAAACAAAAAAACACCAACAACACCAAACACCAAACAAAAAACAACCCCCAAAAAAAAACACTTCAGCAGTTGGACGTCGTTCAGCCCAGATCCCCGCTCGCTCGCGCCTGTGGCAGCCACCACTTGGTCGTACACCGCCTGGCCCACGATCTCCGAGGCTGTGCTCGGGAGCGCCTGCCGCGGGATTCGGAAAACGGCCTTTTACTAGTAGTATAACTATGTTCATGTCTTGTGTTAGTGTGATTCGTTTTTTTCTTTTCTCCCAAATAGCTGAAAGCTATAGGTGTTCTAACTTCTAATAAAGAGGGGGAAGTGATTTGCGAGATTGACGGCTGGGTGCTAGGGGGCATGCAGTTTGGGGTTTTGCTGGTGTATGTTTTCATTTTTCCTTTTTGCTGAGTTTGACGCCAAAAACAAACGCGGATGAGCCCAAAGAAGGGTCCTGGACTTGGCATGCATGGTCCAAGCTGCCAAGGAAAAAAGGTTACACAGTCAAAGTTGATTGGGGTAATGGAGACCTTAGGAATCCGCTGGTTCGTGATAATTTGTTGCGGGTTCTTGGGAATGAAACTGATCCCGAGGAAAGCAGGGAATGACCTAGTGAGAACCAAAGTGATCCTCTAATCAAATCTGTGATGAGAACTCAAAGATGCAGATGCACCTATCTTCTTAGATGGTAACCGCGATCCAGCGGGGAACGACCGAAAGAAGCCACAACTTTGCAGGCCCAAGGATCGATATTGAACGAACCAGCCAAGCGTGGTCCAGGGTTCCCTATTCCTGTTGACCATCACCCCAAAAAAGAAGCGCACCTAAAAGTGGTCAAACCGCAATGTTTCAAACCACCAGAAGGTGAATGGGGAACTCTGGTGTCGCCAAAGGCCCAATTCCTTTAAGGGGTTTGGGGTTCGACTGCGTTCCCAAAGTGTCATCCCATTTGTTTTCGCAAGCTGATTTTTGCAAACAACTTAGAACTTGCGCCGGCAACTCAGGAAATTCCGATTCGGATTCGACACGTGCAAAGTGGCATGAGGGAACCGCATGGCTGCATCTCATGCCGGTCTCACTCAAACATGCGTCAAATGACCAGGTGGCCTCTTGGACTAGGTGGGCGGCCAAAATTATGACTATTACACATAAGCTCGGTTGCCTTATGCTCCCCTACTAAGAGTTGAACTTTTAGTGGTTTAATGGGAAACCCATTAGTTGGCAAAAAGCTAAAGTCCTACCATCCAAGCAAAATGCACCAAAGTAAACACACGCTGACTGGAAAGCTTGAATGCAGCAGGGTGGGCCCTTGCAAAACGTGCCACGAGGGATCTACCGCTTTCCCTCGTGAAGCGGCAGAGGTCCTGACTCATCTATCCACCGAATGATGAAACGGATTGCTTCTCCCAGCATAGTTTGGCTACCTCCTGACCTCCTGATTTCTTCTTCCAGGTCAGGAAATCATGAAACAAATTGGTCTGGAAGTTGCGGGTTAGAAGTTTACGAAGTGGAGCCAAGCCCACTCAGCAGCTCTCAGCTTGTTCATCCGATGCCACAATGCAATCGATTAGAGCCAGCGCTGACTCTCTCACTTCCGATCGAGTGGATTGGCCAAAGAAAGTCCAAACTTGTTGGTTGCCACACAAACGGTCTTCCAAGAAGTTTAAAAAGTCCAGGAACTCAGGAAGTGAGGACTTGTCTGCGCTTTGGACAAGGTCAGTTTCAGGCTCTGGCCCACTCCTACTTGCCTTCAGGTTGGCAAAGCTCGCCGGACCGCAGAGTCCGGGCCCTAGTTCACATGCTCACTTCCGATCCAGTGGATTGGCCAGAAGTGCAAACTCTTTGCTCGCCACGGAAATATATGGTCCGACCCTCACTGGCTGAGTGGATGGCCCAAAAAAAGTCCGAACTTTATGTTTGCCACTAAAATTGTCTTCCCAAAAAGTTTAAAGTTCATCAACTCAGGAAAGTCCAGAAACTCAGTGCACCTACAAAGTTAAAGACCCACAGCTGGGGCTTGGTAGGACTAGGCCGACTCGAACTGAGAGACGTCCGTGCCGGGGGCGTCCTTTAAGGCCTGATCCAGCCTCAGCTCGCGTACGTAGCAACTCAAACGGTTTGGATTTCCTTCTGAGAAAATTACGACTAAATGACCGGATAACCCCACATCGTAGCTTTTCTGAGTGTAACTTGAGTGAATGAGGTGTCAAAGGAGGTCTGGACAAATCAGAAAATTCCTATTCCCTTCAAGGTTTCCTTCTGGGCTCCTGGAACAAAAGGACAACTATGCTAGTTAGCACCCCGCTTGACTCATCACAAAGAACCTGAAAGCAAAAAGTCACTTTGAGACCACGAAAAAAGTGAACAGGGGAACCCCGAAAGGTCAAAGGTCAAACGGGGCTTGGATTAGAAGAAGCTTCCTTCAGGCAAGCCACTGTTCAGTGTATATTTGAGGGAGCCTGTCGGCTTCCTTCGAGGAAGCCAAGAAATATCCTATAGTGGCAGCCCAAGATTCACAGCACTCAGGGTAGCCTCAAGCGACAAAAAGCAGGCTCTGTCGGCATGGGCACAAGAGCAAGCTAGGCACCTGTAAAACAAGCAAAGGCAAGCGATGCGAAAAGTAGCTTGCTCTTGGCTGGAATTAGGACCCCAGCAAAACATAAAAGGGGAACTAATTCTGGGAAAGTGCTGTCATGATCAAGTGGATGACTGCTTTGGAAGCCCCAATCGACATTGCCTTCCGATACACATCATGAAGGAGAATCTGGCACCCATCGGTTCACGAGAAGCGCAGCAGGACTTGAGCATTGGGCTAGCCAGGCCTGCAGAGGCTTGGGCTCCCTCCCTGTGAAAAGGGCGCCTGCTCGAAATCAACCCTAGCTCTCAGGGAAGCAATCCTCTTTTACCCTTCTCAACATCCAAGTGTAAGTGTGAAAGTGCGCAGGGCTCGTTTGAGAAGACGTGGCGAAAACAAAAAAACAAGCCCTGCGAATGAAACCTGCTGGCTTCGATCATTACACTTGGGAATTGTCAAGCCTGTGGCGCCTGTACTCACAGAGTTGGAAGCGGACGGCACGCAAAAGTTGTTATGACAAGGTCGCGTAAGCTGACTCCTTGCAGGGACAACAACGACAGAATGGGATGACCTCTTGGCAAGATTTCTTCCCGCTACCCTAAGCCACTACCCAACGTAACATCAGGGTGTGGTATACTCGATCTTTCTCTGGTTGCTTGTTTTCACAATGAACACCACGTTAAGTATACCTCAGCAACAACATAAGGGTGTGCGCGTGTGTGTGTCTTTTGAGGGTACCCTTTTGGCAACCACCAAGACAACTACCTCTTTTGGGTGCCCTCCCATTTTTTCCCGCATACCCGTACCACAAGCAACCCCTTTTTCTCTTGCGACTTGGGCGCCAGAAGCGGTTCGCCTCGATTATCGCCGTGTAGGGCGTGGTGGTCTCGCTCAGCAAACTTTGTACCGGGCGCGGGGCAGCAGAGAGGCGCGACAGCAGGCCCTGGAGCCCTTGCGAGGCCAAGTAGGCCAAGGACAGCGGGCCCTGGCCGCTGGCAAAAGGGCGCAAGGAGACCCCTCCCCCAAAATACATCTAACTACCCTTCTCTCCACTAGCATTTGCGGGAGGGCACCTGGAAGATCAAGTTCCTCAACAAGGGACCCTTTGTCAGTTGCCATGATAGAAGCAGGAGTGGTAGCTGTTTTTCACAAAAGGGAACATGCCTGGCAAGCTATTTGAGCCCATAACCTCCATTTGCCTGAGACCCCTGGAAAAAAATCCAGTAGTGAAATTGATTCCCTTTCAAACCAACAGGGGAAAATGAAAAAACATATTCTGAAGCAAACGGAAGCATAGCCCAGCTCTGGTAACCCTGGTGAATGCGGCCCCCTGGTGGTTGAATTTTGACCCACACCCATTTGAGCCCATAAAATCAACTGGGCAGATCTGGTTCCAACGGGGGCCCGGCCTTGGGTGGCAGCTGCAGCAACTTCCACAGCGCCAGGCCCTCCGGCTGCTGGCGCCGGGAGAACTCTTCGCCAAGTTCCTGCCGTAGCGCGATTTTCGCTCGCGGCTCGCGAGCGAAACCTCCGAAGCCATCAGCAGAGTACTGGCTTGTAAACACCCCTCAAAAATAGGACCCCTATTTTGACACTACATGAATCCTTACATTATAAACCTGAGCATTGCCTTGTAAATGGTGGTTTCCCTTGATTTTGGTGGAAAAACAACATGTGTTAAATAGGCAAAACGTATCCTTTAAGGAGCCCTCGTAGCCTGTCTTGGGCTTATTTTGAAGCTCACACGATCTTTTTCCGATTATGGTGAGACGAGTTCCAGGTCGGGCCTACGTCGGGGGGCTGACTTCTGGCGGCTGAAAGGCGTGGAAGGCGCGATTTCTGGGGGAACGTTCAACCCGAAGCCCGGGATCAAAACCCAAAATGGACAACCCAGGATCAAAACATCCGCAGGAAATTGCAGCTTATTGTTAGTAGGTCTTGTCTAGTCTGTCCAAACGCCTTCCGACTTTCCGGAAAAGCACGCAACACCCGGGGAAGAATTCATGGATTTGTTTAAAAGACTGGAAACGTTCCTCCATTTCCCTTTTTGGAACTTCCCTTGTAGTTGCAGGTTTAGCAGAAACCACCAGTAGATGTGTAAGCCCTATGCAAATTTCCGGACCCTCCAATGGAGAACCCCGACCAATTCCTCAGGGGCCCAAGGGAAAACAACCAGTTTTGAGGGCCCAAAAACAATAAAGACCCTTAGAAACGCTGTGATGTTCTTTGTTCATCATTCTAGTCAAGGGCAAATATGTAAGATGGGCGCAAACGTTGACCCAGTGCTTTTGTGTTTATGGGAAATGAGAGCCTCAATCCTGAGGATTGAGCGTCGCTAGATGGAATCCGTTACTTTGTATTTTCTGAGGGGGACACATCGGTGATGATTCATCAGGTTGATCAAGACCTGAATGAACATGACAATCTTAGTACGGCCTGGAAACCATTCAAAATTCCTCAAACCCTGAATGACACGCAACGCTGACAACTAGGACTAGAAGCCAAGGCGTTCTTTTCCTGGATGTTGCTTCAAAGGAACGGAAGGGACATCCGATTTCAAAGGGCTGCATATCTTGAGCGGCATGGAGCGGCCTTTGGGGGGGTGTTGTTCCCATTTTCCCGCCGCTGAAGCTACAACCCACCAGAGACTGTTCTTCCTCCCACTAACCTGGCATTTGTGGGAGGGCACCTGGAAGATCAATTTCCTCTTCAAGAAACCTTGTGTGGTGCCAGTGAGTGGAGGCAGGGAAGGCAATATTTGGGGCCGGTAGCCAACCCGCCAGCCCAGCCCGTCCTGAACCACAGACCCCTCCTGGGAGGCCTGTTCAAGCAGGCGGTCCAGAACCACAGCGTCCTTCGCGAGTTGCTCGGGACCCGACCAACCGTTGGATGTTTTTCGCCCGAGCGTTGGACCTTGTTCCTCTAAAAACACTGGACGCTGGGGCCCACATTGGCTTGACAGGCCTTCATAGCCGCTCACTTGGATCAATCGCAATGATGATTCGGCTTTCTGGGCTCTTTTTGAAGTATGTCTTCCTTGATTCTGGCAGGGAGGTAGGTCTTTGGGTGGGATCCTGGATGGTTCGCACCCTTAGGATGTGACTTGCACACCAACTTCACTAACGAATTTGCCCTGGCCAAAGCCCTCGCCCAGATAGAAGAAGCCGGGCTTATCTTTTGACCCACAAGAGAAGCAGTTGTTCACCGGTAAACCTTTGTTGAGACAGAAATCATTCTTCAAATAATGCTCCTTTTTGGCGTCCTCAATCCTAATACCTGACCCGTAGGACTAGACAACAAACAAACATGTAATCAATGTGTCATACGGATCTCTCGGATTGATGTTCAACAGCCAAGTTAACGCGGGTTTGTGAGTCAAAAGGTGACGTTTCAATCACACAGCAAACAGACACATCATAGTCTTGGGCTTAGGATCCAACACCAAGTTGGTTACTACGCCGTTATTCTGGTAAAAAGGCCGCCCCTTTTTGGGGTTGCCCCTTTTTTTTCGTATAGGGAGCCAAGCACCATGCGCCGGGTGCTCGTACGCCTGCAGCGCGCTGTTGGCGCCCTGGCCCAATGTGCCCCCGGTGGAGTGGGCAGCGTCCCCTAGCAGCAGGGCGCGGCCCGCCAGGTCCTGGGTGAAGTCATTCACCAAACAAGGCCTTAAGTGTGGGGATTGCGGCTGGGTTGGGTCCATAGAGCCTTTTCAGTGGGATCTCCTGAAAGGAGGGAGGGGCCAGCTCGAAAAGGTCCATAAGCCCAGCCCCCCAAGCAGAGAACGCGCTTCATTCCTCTGGGTTGCGGGCTCCATCCAAGCCTGGCAAACTTAAAGCATGATTATAGAGACTCAGCATGGGCGGAGCTGGAGTGGGCTTGGTGTCCCACTCGCGGTCAAAGAGACATATTAAATCCCTTTCACAAAGACTTCACAAATCTGTCGCGGCAGAAGCGGCGGTCCATATTTCATGGGAGGCTTTGAGGCAGTCTTTCACGTTTGGAGGCGAACGTGCCCTTTCGCGACCCCTCTGCGAGGAGGAAACAGCAACTTTTTGAAAAGCTATTTCCTCAAGAACACCTTCAAATGCAGGTGTGTTTTTGAACGTCGCCCGCGTTGCTGCTCCAAAGGGAAAATGAAGGAAACCCTAAACCACAAAAGAGCAAACAGCAGCTGGTCAAGTCTAGCAATGATTCAACCAAAGTGACCCCCGAAAGGATCAACACCTAATAAAACTGGGACCATCATCCTGGTGGCTTCCACGCAAACACTCCCACAGGGTAACATGAGGGCAACAACACGGTCAGGCTTGGGGGATAGGGTCCATGGAGCCGTTTTCAGTGGCCACGGGGTCTACGCAACGCGCCTCGACAAACCCCCGCGGCAAGGAATCTAGGTCCTCCAGTAGAGAGGTTTTAGAATAAGGGTATCATTTTTTTCTGTAGTCGATTTTAGTGGAAAAACACCTCCCAACCAAAACAGGGCTTTCTGTTGTCTATTTTAGTGGGGGAACCCTCCCCCCAAAAAAAAAGGGTGAGGAAAGGGACCCTAGCTGGGGCACCTGGGCAAGCTAGAGCCCACCTCCATTTGCTTAAGACCCCTGGAAAACATATAAACCCAGTAGTCATCGATTCCCTTTAAAACCAACAGGGGAAAATGAAATTGATTCCCTTAAAACACATCCAGTAGTGAAATTGATTCCCTTTAAAACCAACAGTCATAGATTTCCAGTCATAGAATCCATCGAGGCGCGTGGTAGCGGTTGGCCCGCACGGTGGTGGCACTGCTGGCGAGCTGCGGAAGCAGCTGCGCCACAGCCTCTCCGAGAGGCCACCGAGCCGAGGGTCGTCCAGGGACAAAAGCGGATCCCCATGGTAGCATCTTCGGTTCCTTCCTGGTTTCAATTGGAGTTGTACACAGGGTTTGCCTTTGCCACTGAAATGAACAGCCTCCCTTGAAAAGGGTTTCTACACTACCAGGAAAACTGCTTATTTATCCCACAAACAGCGGAAAAGGCAAACCATGGTTGTACAGCCGATGATTCGACCTTTAGCATGTTTGTTGCGGTTTGGAGCGCTCAAATGACTTCCCTACAAGTGAACATGGAACCCAGCCACGAGGGCTGGTGGCGGTCTCAGGGGTGACGTTTACCAAGAGAAAAAAAAGGGAGGAAATCCACTGAACAGGGTAAAGGGATTGAAATCCACCACAGAGGGGTGATAAGATTGATGAAGCAGGGAACCTGAAGCAAAAAAACATAGAAAAGTGAACCAACAGGGCCGAAACCAAGAGGTAGAAAAAGGGAGAACGGGGGGGGAGTGCACTGAAGAATCGAAATCGCAAGACCGCCGAAGCGACCTGGTTTTGCATCGGCGGCTATAGCCCCTGCGCTTAAAGCCCAAACGAGGCTGGAAGTTGGGGCTTGAAGCCAAGCGGGGCGGACTGGCGAGAGCAAGATAGAAGAAGCATCAAACCGTGGATGGACGAAATCCGTTCGCACCACTTGGAATCCATGGGAAACTGTTGTTTGTTGGCAGTTACAAGGGAATCATCCTTTCAGGGTTTGCTAGGTGGTGCGAAATGGATTTTGTGCATCCACAGTGAGCATGGGAAGGCAAGCCCCAGCACCCTTTCTGAGGCACAGATATGTAAGAATTGCTGCCGCCTGGCGGCCGGGACTGCCAAACACAATGTAAATGAATATCTGTATACATCTGGATTCCAACACTTGCAGTTTGGCGCCTGGGATTACACCCTCTGCAAAATCATCCTAGTTTCAGTCTTGTTATTTTGGTTTGGGGGTAATTTATTTAGCGTGCAATCCTAGGGTGTAGGACAATGCACTTAGAGCAACCCCCAGCTGGACCCCATCAGCCTCGCAAAAGGGATTGTAAGCTAGGTCCCAGACCATCTCAGCAGGGTCGAATTTTGTTGTTCCTCTATGTCCCCAAACCTATTGCTTGACCTCCATGTATTCCCTTGCGCAGGGTCCAGTAATGCATCAACTCTGGGTCAAAGGCCCCCCCAAAGGCAATGTTTGAAATACTTGGTTGACGTTGGAAGGGGACCAAACACCTAAATTTTAGCAGTTAAGTGAGATTTCAACCACTAAACCACAGTTTGCAAAAATGCAACATGTCTCCCCACAACACCCCTGTGTAGGACAATCCACTTAGACTTAGCTAAGAGTAACCGACCCCATTGAAAACCCTCTCTACCCTCGCAAGAGGGAACCCATGGAAAGCACCCAACTTGGCTGGAATTAGGACCCCAGCAAAAAAAACGTCTTTTTGCCCGGTAGTGGAAAACAAAGGGAACTCCAAAAAAGCAAGACAATAAAAAGGGGGACTAATTCTGGGGAATGCTGTCATGATCAAGTGGATGACTGTTTTGGAAGCCCCAATCGACATTGCCTTCCGATACACATCATGAAGGAGAATCTGGCACCCATCGGTTCACTAATTCTGGGGAAGCCAAAAAAAAAACACAATTCGACGAGGCCTCCAGCGCTGGTCGCCCGAAGCTCGGGAAGTCCTTCTCCACCCGCGTGGCGATCTGCTCGTCGGAGTCGGAGAGGAAGCTGGGCGGGTCCTGGAGCCGCGCAAAACGCGGCGAGCTTCGAATGCGGTCCCTAAAAAGGTGCTGGTTTGCGAATAAGGACCTTTTCCCTAGTACTTGTTGGCGTTCCTTTCTTGTCTTGTGTTTTTTTTTTGGGGGGGGGTCTGTGTTCTATTTCGGACCTTTTTGGACCATACACTTTGGTTCGCCTTTACGGGTCCCAAAGCACAACCTGCTCTATTGAGTTTCGGCAAAGGGGCACCTTTGAGGGTTGCTCCCTCCAGATGTTTGAGGGAAACAGGGTCCCTGGTTTGGACACTTGTCGACATGTATCTACCAAATGACTTCTGAGGTACCGAAACAGCGGTGGTTGCATCGCAGCTCTCCCCGAAAGCAAGCCCTTTCACAGCCTTGTTGCTGGTCCGCGAATGGCAGTGGCCTGCGGCCTACCTAGCTACCTACCTATGCAATCCGAAGACTAGCCGGGGGAGAATAGACTACTAACGATTGGAAAGAAATGTCAGCATTCTGCCACTGGACAGGGCAAATCAATTTACGTTTGTCAACTGGGCAATTGTCTTTCTCCACCAAGTGGAAATAAGGGATCCCAAAAATTGTTGCCTTTGACCCCCCTGCAAAAAGTGTTTAACTGTTTGGGGGGTTTGGTGGAAAACCCAACTTGATTTCAACCAAAAAGTTAAAGTCTGAAGATCCGTTGCCCAATAGCAGTCAAGGGGTAGCTATGAATACTCTCTTGCCCACAGGAGAAATAAAAGGTGGGGCCATGACTTCCAGTGGGCCAGGAAGGAAGCGAAACCAAAATGTGAGAAGGTGGATTCGATTTTTCAAGAATAGCAGTCAAGCATCGGTGTCCTTTTGGGACAATAAATGGGTTTCCCTGGCACATGGGTAATGAATTCCATCCTAAACCAGAGGAACCCATCGATTTCGAACCACAGACCTCTGTCAAGCAAATTGCAATAGATCCCAAAGTAAAGGGACCTGTGAGCTCGTGGCTTCGCAGCTCGTGGCTTCGCCTCTCCGTTTTTGGTACCCATTGCAGGAGAATCCAAAAAGTGGCGGGGCCGAATGACGGGCAGAAGGCTACTGCCACGGGAACGAGGTCCTCCAGTAGAGAGGTTAGAATAAGGGTACCAACTTTTTTTCTGTAGTCTGTTTTAGTAGCTTCGCCGTGCAAAATGCTACTGCAGTTCACCTTGGGTGGCTGGCTGCCCACAGCTGTTGCAAAGCTCCAGCAGGACTTCCAACCGCCAGCTCACCTTGTTGGGTGGAGCCAGTGGGCAACCTGAGTCCCAAGTTGTCGACCGCCGTGTCCACCTTCCACCATGCAGTCCCCATGCGACGTACACTGACATCCAGGAAATGCCTTGGCAGATGAATAGCACAACGGCCTGACTCCCATTCCCCATGGCCGTGGGTCAAAGGCCAGTACACATCCCAATCCCCACTAAAATAGGTCCTAAAATGGGTGGTGAATTCACCTGCCAACCAAAATGGGATCCCAAACGGTTTTGACAACCACAGCCCCATCGCCTTGTTCCAGGAGAGGATGGTGCAGAGCCGGCCATCTTGCCGCGGGATGGAGAAGAGGCTATACTCCCCCGAGGCCATAGCATGCACGGCCAAGGGCTCCAAGGATTGAGGGCATGGCCCAACCCACACCTGATCAGCTGGCTCAAGCCTGGCAAGCCCTTGTGGGGATCCCAAAAGGTCGTGTCAAAGACAATTGGCTTAATTCAGCATGCTTACACAAGGGGGCCACCCAAAAGGGGGGATCCTTCCATTTGCTTCAGGCGATTTGATATTCCTTTGTTGGCTTTAGATGGAAACGGGTCTGGAGGAATGGCAGTTGCGTGAATGAAAATCCTCACGTGAGAAGAGATTGCCACTTACTTTGTCAGGTGAATTCACCACACACCATTGGATCAAACCAAAAGGCTCTGGCTTCCCTTTCTGTCTCCATTTGGCTGTTTTGACGGGGCACCTGCCCAGAAAACAAACAGTTGGGACCATGTGTGGAAACCTCAAAAACCATGGCGCTTCATAAAGGAGCAAGGCCAAACGAGTTCAAACTCGTCTGCATCAGCTTGTTCAAGACGTGGTACAGGCAGACCGCGACCCCGCTCACTCAAAATGGCCAAAGAGGGCTTTTTGGGTGCTATTCATGTGAAAGGATAAGGCTTGCAAGGAAGGCATCGTGTTGGGGCAAAATGCCCTCCCGACCAGTGGTAGGTAGTCGCACATTTGGCCCAGCCGCAAGCAAGCAAAACACACAGAGCACAAGATGGCGCAACCCGAGCAAACAACACGAACATCTCGAGGCGAGATCCGGGATGCTGCATGTCCTGCCCGGGCTGCAGGCCCAAGGGCCTAAAAGCCACTTGGCCTTGTGATTGGAACCAGTTTCGTGGCCTTTTCGCCAAAAACCAGCTGGTCTTGCCAGGCTTTAGTCACATGGCAACTCGAGGAATGAGAAGAAAAAAAAAGCATGCAGTGCCATGTCCTGCTTGACTCAGCCCCGGCGCCTTGAACTCTCCAGGCAAGTCCACGGCTTCGCTGCGGAAACCCTCCCTGCCCTGGGCCGAAGCTCTGATTGGACACGTTGGGTTCGAACGAATGGGAAGGATGCCGCAATTGTCCTTTGGCGCAGGGAACCGTTTTCTAGAACACGTTGAACGGGCCTCTTGATTGCGCACTTCACTTCAGCCGAACCAAACACGTGCATCGCAAGCTTACAACCAAAAGACCAAAAACCACTGCACCACCCCTACCCAACTGTGATGGAGCAAGCCTCTTCCAAAGGTAGTTTGAAAGAGTTACAGCGGTTCCAGAACTAAACGTGGAAGTGTCGGTCTTCCCTACCAAATTCAATGGGCCCTCAGGAAGCTTGGCCAAACGTCTAGCTTGGCCGAACCCGAAACAGCAAACGGGCAACGCTTAACTTTTAGTGGGTTAGATGGAACACCCCACTAAACCCGTCTAAGCCCAAAACCCCAAGAACCGGACGATTCGCTGACTCCATGGCCCCCCACCCCCCACAGGACCCCACGGCCTCCATGGCCCGCCGCACCACCGAGTTCACGCCGTCCGCGCCGATGAGATCCTCGTAGGACGCCGTGGATCCCGCGCTGCTCACGCAGCGCCTGCCGTCCAGGTCCACCTGCGGAGCTGACGAGGGCCTAAGGGGGTGAGACAGGGCACGGGCGAGCGGTCCATTTCCACGTGTTGGCAACAAGCTCACGAGGAGTTCCAAAGAAACGATTGGGAAAAAACGGGGGGAAACATCTAAATCACTTGCATCTACTTGCTTTTAGGTGCTTTTGCTGTTGGCGGGCCTCTGTCTGTGCAGGCTTCCCGCCCCGACAAGTTCATTCAGGTGGACACCCTTCGAAAGGGCATCGGACAAGTGGTCCCCGACTTTTGTGGGACACAAGCAAATCATCAAGGGCCCCTAAGCTTACGCATGTTTCTGAAAAGGGCTGGCTCTCTGTTGCTGGTGGGGGCACCTTGCTCTCCCTGTACAGTTATCAAAAACTGAGACTTCCAGCTTCATTGCCGCCGGGAGCGCTTGCATGTTGAACTGAAAATCCCATCGTGGGGATTTTAAAGTTCAACCCCAAAAGAAAGACACGGGGTGCCGAGGTATGGATTTCAAGTGAGTTTGGGGAAATGCTCGTCTATGCCTATAGATCTTGTCTGAATAATCTTCACCTACGCCGCAAGGGTGGCCCCGAGAAAAGGACATCACAAGTTGAACGCGAATCAACAACCCTTCAAGCCCTTTGTCAGAATGATTCACGCGGGACCCAAAAAAACACACACAAAACAAAACAAGGTTAGCTTCGCAGGATCCGCTTTGCACAGTTGACCCTGGTTTTCAATTGGGGAACCCTTTTGGGCTTCACTCTCCCTTTGACATGTACCAAAAAATATGGGTGTGCCTTTTGTGAGGGTACCCTTTTTCGTTGGTTTCCACGGGAACCCAAAAGCACGGCAACCATTTTGACCGTCTGCGGGTGCCCTATAAAAGGCACACCCATATGAGGGCGCCCGAAAAGGTCTCTTACGAGCCGGCAGAAGCTTTTTCGCGGCCTTCTCCAAGCTTTCCCCGAAGTGCATGTGAAGACGATCTCCGAATCTCTGCCTGAACAAATGGCCAAGAAAACTTCCAGTTGCAAACGCCGCCGAATAATAAAAACATGTTTTGGGCACAGAACCCTTAGGTTGCGAAACCATGCAAATGGTCTTAACATGGGCCCAACCAATGGAAGGACTTGCCCCCTGCAAGTGGGCTTCCTCCCCTCGCAATTCATTGGGTGGGGATGGTCTGTCGGTGGTTTCGTTATGATGGTTGCTTGGTTCTGCGGATTGGTTCATGTTGTTGCTATAGGTTCATGTTCAGTAGTTTCTTGTTTCACGTTGCTTGGTTGTCCCCATGTTGTTCTTTCCCTGCGCTGTCCTTCTTTGGCTCGTACTGTTTGCTTGGTTGTTTCTTGCTATCAAGGCAAACGCCATCCATAAACTTGGGACTGCCGCCTGCCTCCGCCACATCCATCATGTCGGGCAGAGCCACGGCTCTCCGCCACCCCCGTGGCAAACACAGAGGCGATGTCGGGCAGAGCCACGGCTGTCTGTCTCCGCCACCCTCGTGACAAAGACAGAGGCGAACCATGATGTCGGGCAGGGCCACGAGCGCCTGTCTCCGCCAGCCCCGTGGCAAAGACAGACGTGAACCATACTGTCGTGCGGAGCCCCATTCGCCTGTCTCCGCCACCCCCGTGGCAAATACAGACGCAAAGACAGAGGCGAAGCATATGTCGGGCAGAGCCACGGCCTGTCACCGCCACCCCCGTGGCAAAGAGAGAGGCGAACCGCAATGTTGGGCAGGCCGGCAGGCCCGTCTCCGCCACCCCCGTGGCAAAGACAGACGCACAGACAGAGGCAAAGCATGTATTGTGGCCTGTCACCGCCACCCCCGTGGCAAAGACAGATGCGATCCACATTGTCGGGCAGAGCCACGGCCGCCTGTCTCCGCCACCCGCGTAACAAAGACAAACGAGAACTATAGTGTCGGGCAAAGCTACGGCCTGGCGGCACAAGGCGGCAGCCCTTGCAAAAGAACTCACCTAATCAAACACTGCAAAAAATCAATCGAACAAGAGCAATCCAAACCAACATGACAAAAACACCAACTAGCAAATCAAAACCGCTCTGGATTTCTTTGGGCCCCGTTTGATCTACCTCCCGCCATTTTGCGGTGCCCCGAAGCCCGAGTTCCGGGCACTCCAGGACCCCCGGCTCCAAATCCTCGAGTAGTGCGGCGCACAAATCCTGGCGGCCCAGCAGCAGCGTGGGCACGGAGCCCGGCTGGTTGCCGCGCAGCTGCAATTGAAAGCCTGGAGGCTTCTCTCTCGCTCACTTGGCCAGTGACCAGCCCGAAAAAGAAGCTGTATACTTTTTGGGCCACCACTCAAATAAAGGGAGAGCCAGGAAAAAAGTGTAAAGTGTGTCCACTGGGTGAGCACTCTCTCTCTCTCTCTCGTGCCATCGGGCAGCGAGGCTCAATGGCCCAGGCGTGCGGTCTGTCTGACCGCTCGCAAGAGAACTGCGATTAGCGGCCGCCTTGGGCGGGTCCCTGAGCATGGTTTCCTTTAAAGGTTTCCGCTCAAACGCCAAATTTAAGAAAAGGGGCCCGGACATGGGCCATGGATGTGGGCCATGTCAGCATCATGAAAGAATGGAGAAGGGATCTTTCTCCCAGGCGCGCGAAGATAAACTCGTGGGATTCAATCCATCCCCCCCTCAAAGCCCCAACTCCCGTTGTGCCTTGAGATCTGGATTTGTTTGTGAAAGGGAGACAGCCCTTGAACACAACCGTAACGGGGAATTCTTCCCGAAAAAACAAGCATACAACCCTAGAATCTGTAGAGCTTGTTTGGATGCCAATTCCTAACATGTGTTGAAATGCATGGTTGGAAGACCAAGAAACAAATGCGTTTCTCGGCTGTCCAAGAGAAGGAAACAAAAACCTGCCATTCATTGGGCAGTCAACTAAATGACAACTGGGAGTGGGTCCCTGCTCAGGTAAACTCATCAGGCAAGATCTAAGTTGCGATTCGGCTTCAGCAACAAATGGAAGTCATGTGCATTCGGAAGTCGCTTCCAACGAAATAACAATCTCTAGGATGTAAGCCAAAACATGTTTGTTGGCTGAAATTAGGCCAACGTGTGCATAATTTCCTGCAGCTGGTCTCTCACACGTTTGACTTCCGCATGAGGTCAACTGCAACACACTGGCACCAAAAAGCCACTGCAACCCCTGAACCGGAAAACACTTGCAGGTGCTCCGCAGGGAATAAGGAACGACCCCTGTGAGCCAGCATCCAGGGCAGGTTTTTTCTCAAGAAACCTTGCTGCACAAGCGGCAACTCTCAATCAGGCGGGGCTCACACATGGACTCAACAAATAGCGTGTGACTGGAAATCTGTTACCGAAGGGTTTGGGGCCTTCGAAAGTCTAAAACGCTTCCGGTATTCCGAGCCCCGCTCGTGCAAGTTGACAGCTCATGCACGGAAATTATTTGTTAAAGCTCGTTTTCTGACTTGCTCAAAGCTCATCCCCAACTGATTGCCAGGCGGCCGCCCACATGCAGCAGGAACTTGTCACTGAGAACCCCCTGGCTCCATAAACGCCAAAGAGAGCGCAAGGTGCAAGATCGCTGTGTTGTTTGCAGCGTGCTCTGCTGCCTTGTTTCTCCATAGAAGCAAGGAAAAAGCACTTCCAGACTCCCCTCGCAATTGCCCAGTGACTCTCAATGACCCAAAATGAGAACAACCACTTTTCTGGGTTGATTCCATACTTGGGCCGCGAACCGACCAAACAAAGAGGAAAGGGATCTGAAAGGCGGCATCCACTACTTTTTTGGGTTGATTCCGTACTTGGGCCCCGAACCGACCAAACAAAAAGAAGGATTTGAAAGGCGGCATCCACTACACAGCCGGGAGTTGATCGTTCGCAAAAGCCGCGCAGCATCCTTTCAATGGAACAAGTGTCAACGTGTCAATCGCCCACAGTTGCCAAGCTGATCCTATGCAAATGATTCCAACCTCTGGTTTGTAGCGAAGGTCATGTTGGATTCACACCCCCAATGTCGGACCGCATGTGCCTTGGACATGTTGACTATATGAACTGACGGTCCAGGTGCATCATAGACCATGTCTTGGCTGCGACGGCTCACAACTCCCAACCACGCGCATGGGCATGCACAAGCCCAAGCTGATATGTGTGTGTCTGCGAAATCGGTGCGTGTGCTCACCCGCTTGCTCTGATGCAATCCCATGTGTTGGCAAAATATCGTACCTGAATCATAGAGTTGCTACAGGCTGGTACAGGCCTGCCCGAGGATGTGTCGGCTGTCAATATCAAGCGGATATATGAGATACATCCGTCTTCTGCGAGTGGCGCAGCTTTAGAGACATAAATGTATGTCGGCCTTCTGCTATCCTTGTGCCGTAGGGCTCAGATCGCCAGGGTGAATGCTACCAATGGGATGTGCACAGAAGTTGTTGGGCACGACTGCGGATGCGCTCCGATGGTGTCTTCACTATGGGGCCTGTCCGGCGGTGTGATAAACCATGTCAACCAACGGCCAAGATTCGCCAAATTTCACCCCAGGCACCATGAGAACACAAGGCACCTGCTTTTGCTAGCTTCATTTGCTCGGGGCCCGCATGGCTGTCTGTCGAAAATAGGTAGCCAAAATGCAACCCTGGTAAATGGAACCAAGGACTAAAACCTGGGGTCCCTTGGTGGTGTAATTTTTTAACCCATACCCACATGGCCATTTCCGCGTCATGTGCGCGGCCGGGACCGAGACGCCTTCTGTGCCACTTGCTCCCAGAGGCCAGGCCAGTGCTGCAGGGACTTCCGGCCCCGGATGTTGAGACCCAAGGAGTAGGCCCGAAAGCCGCTGGTGGGCTCCACGCGCGGATCACCTGAAGCTTCGGCTCCGAAGGTCAAGGGGATGGGAGGGGGCCAAAAACAAGCATCCAAAATTCAGGGCACCTGTCTGGCCATGATTTGGTGTACAAGCTTTGCCCAAATGGCGGTAGCTCGCAAAAAGAGGCACCAAAATTGCACCTTGGTACGTAGAACCAGGAACTAAAACCTGTGTAACCCTAGCTCTTTAACTTTCTAGCCACACCCAAATCAACAAGGTAGCCTCCGAAAACGTGTCAGCACTGGACAGCATGACCTCTCCCGCCTTCGTCTGGGAAGTCCCAGACGTTTAGGAAGTCCACATACGGAGGAAAAGGCGAGCAACCATGCCCCCAACGTACTCACTGCCACGGCCCCACAACTGCCCAGTCTTTAAAACTATTCATGTGGATTCCTGAGTGTGCTTGCGCACCTGCCTGAGAAGCATGCTGCTGTCTCTTGTGGGGCGATTGAATTGACAGAACAAAAAGAGGAGATAGAAAAGGTGCATTATTAAAGATAATATGTATGGCAGATAAAGGAGTGAACAGTTTTGAATACTGGGCGATATTACAGTATATATGAAACATCAAAACATCCGGTAATAGATGTGCATCACCAGCATATTGTTGGTGCCCTCCAATGAAGGGCACTTAACGTGTTTTTGCATCGAGGGCACTTAAATCCGTGTCGGTGGCCTAAGTGACCCTTTGATTCGTTTGCTAAGTGCCCTTTTTGGCTTGACAAGGATTGGGATTCTGTTGAAAGCGAACAGCTACCACTGTAGCAACTGCCACATTTGATTGGGGCCGACCCGGAAAGCCCGAACATGGCGTTTTGAGTGTCAAAGCGTGTCATTTGAGTGTCATTGGGGGTGCGAATCGAGGTCACTTACGCTAGTGTCTGTCCCCCCTGCGTGAGTGTCATTCGCGTGTCGCTGCAGCTCGATTTGCCCAGAGTCGGTCCCTCCCCGGTAAGTGTCATTCGCATTCACGTGTAGCTGAGAAATCTGCTGGGGAGGGCAACCCTGAGGGTCTAAGTGCCCTTTAAATGACTTAAGTGACCTCTTTGATTTAGGACTAAGTGCCCGTATTTTCAAAATGGATCATAGCACCCAAAAAATGAATCGAGGGCACTAAAAAGAAGCTGGTTGCAATTACAACATCTTAAGCATGCTAGTGAAAACAACTGAGTCAGTTCATTGAGTTGGACAGGTTTAGCTTACATCTCTATTTCTTTGCGAGTAAATTTGTTTGGTTGCACTTGCTAATGACAGCACGTGCTGAATTCGTGTATATGCCATCTTCACCATATTAGTTGATTATACTATCTAAATGTGATTGTATTATTTGTTTTGATTGTATAGTTGGTTGTACATCTACTGAATTCAATTGACCTGAACTATGGATCGTTACAAAAATGACGGCTACTCCATTCTATATCTGTGTGTTTCACTAATTCGAACTACACTTGATTCATGACCATGCATATTTAGTACATATGTTGTCACTCTATAGTTGTTGCAAAGAAATAACGTGAATTTGTGTAAAACCAAATCACATGTATAAATGAATCGATGGGCAGTCTAGCCGTGATTGCGGAGCGGATGGCTGACGCGCTGTGTAGAACTTTGGTTCAAAGGAGGGAGCCTTCCACATAGACTCACCTCTTGAGTGGATGGGCCAAAACAAGTAACCAAACTGTTTGTGTTCACGTGCAAAGGTTGGCCCGTACCAACAAACATTGAGTTGGTCACGTGACATTGCCAACAAACATGTTGCATGTTGCCATTTTTGAAAACTGTCACGTGCACAGTCTGCGAAACTGGAGCTGCTGAACAAAAATTGAAGACTGATTTTGAAAGTTGGCAAAAATGGTCCAAACCCAAACCGTCCATAAAGTCCGGGACGGTTAAGGAGTAAGCAGAGTATCTGTTTTCTCTCTTTGTCTCTTTGTCTCAAACTATGCAACCCGCTGCACCAAACATATCCATCGCCAAAGCGGGCACCTCGCTTTTTCCAAACGAGACCCAGGACATGAAACTCTGCACATGCGGTCAGCACTGTAGCCTGCATGCTTCTTTAAAAACGCAAAATCCAATCGTTGCGGTTCAAGCCCCCACAAACCACCCAACAATTACTGAAGCCACGCAAAGTGGTGTTTGTAATGCTGTTATTGATTCTTCTTAAGCCTCATCAAAAACCCATGTGAGCAAACCCAAGCTAACTCCGATGCAGACAATCCGCAAACTAGGTCCTCCAGTAGAGAGGTTCGAATAAAGGTACCCTTCTTTCTGTAGCCTATCTTACTAGGGGAACCCTCCCCCAAAAAAAGGTGTTATAAAGGGCACTACTGAGGGACCTAGAAAAAAGTGTTGGAGGCTGTGAGTCACCTCTTACCTACTTTTGTTCCATGGCGCCCTTCTCTGGCAAATCCAAGAGTCCTCTGCACAACCAAGGAGAGCAGCTACGTCTCTTGGGCGAAGCCCCTCTTCTCATAACACAGGAACTTGGTTGCTGTTGACCCCCCTGGCAAAACCCCTTGATTTCCAAAAAAGTTAAAGTCTAAAGATCCAACCCAATAGCAGTCAAGAGAGCATCCCGGCCTCGTTTCTCATAGATCCGCAGCTCCACCCCCGGCCGGTGCTGCAAAATGCTGCGCGCCGCCAGCAGCCCCGCGGGCCCGGCGCCGCTCACGACCACCTGCGGTTTTTTGGGACCACGAGGCGCCGTCTTTTGGGCAAGTACCCCCCTCACTTGGCTGTGGGTCAAAACCCTCCCCTGGTGAACATCAAAATAAGGTGGCAAATGGATGTTCATCCCCAAAATGGGATCGAAATAGGTTATGCCCATGGCCACTTCCTGCGCGGATTGGCCAAAAGAGGAGGCCAACACTTTTGTGTTTGCCACTAAACTGGTCTTTCAGAAAGTTCGAGGACCAGGACTGAGCCTCGCCTCGCGTCCTGCTACCTTCTTCTCCCTAGCAGCTACCCGCTACTAACATGGAGCCCACCAGAGGCACATGGCCGGCCAAGACTCCCCAGCGCGGATCCATGGTAGTGGATGGCAGAAATTGTGCGCGGCTGTTTTAATGGAATGGAGGAACATCAAAACACCCAGAGAGGGGGAGGCCCCCAACCGTGGGCTCGCTTGATTTTGCGGAATTGGTACGAGAAAACAACAGGAAACCCAGTGGATCTCCGTTGCCACGGTGTCTCAGAAAGGAAAGGCGGCTGCCTTTGGCAGGCAAAGCTAGAGAACGCAACAAAGGTCAACAGATCGATTCGCTTTGGGCAAGTGGCTGAACATCTGAATGGAACTGGGCTGTCATAGGGCATGGGGAGGAATCAGGGCACAGCCCTGGGCAAGCTCAGCGCAAGTTCAGGGAGACCTATGCCAAATCTGGACCAAGCCTGGCGGAATCATAGTGTTCAAAGCGAAGCATCCCCAGTAAAATGAACCACGACTTGTCAATCAACCAGGAGTTTGTTAATCCTGGATCTAAATTAAATGCGATGAGGGAATGGACCCTCCCCGGCAGCTGTTGCCTTCGGTGGTGAAAAGGCGTAAAGCCTCCTTCTGAACGAAGGCAAGCGTGTATGCTGCCCAAACAGGTTCCACACACTACGCGGAAGCCCACGCACTAGATTTCATCAACGTGCGTATTCAAGGAAGCCGAGCATTTGACCAAATGTTGAAAAGCAGGGAGGAAACATAACATGGTCTCCTTGTCAATGACAACAAATTGTGTTTTGTTTTGCAACGCTACTGACATGGCCAACTATCATTGCGTCGTATCATGCGGTAGACGTTGCGAGGCCAATGCAACGGCAGCCATGCGCGTGCTTACGGGTGGCGTGAGAATCCCCGGGGAACGTCCTGTGAGCCGCACGCTTTGGAACTGAAGGACCAAACCAAACTTCTTAAGGAATATTCAGACTCCTGGTAAGCCTTTGGTAAAAGGCCTATGAAAGGAATCCAGGAGCCAACTGCAGACTAACCGAAGCCTCTATTGAGCAGTCAAAATTATCATTTCTTTGGCCCCCTTTGGTCCTCCCAGGACCCCGAAGCAGTGTTAATGTGGGTGATGGAGAATCTGTTCTTGTTAAACAAAACAGTCCCCTTTAGGCTTTCTTTGGACAATTTGAGCATTATGGGCAATAACTCTGCCACAACCGCGAATTACCCTGTCTGTCCCTCTATCCAAACAAGCATCCGGCTCAACAGTTCAAACGACGATTTTGCGCCACTCAAAAAGGGTAGAACTAATTAGCTGTCATTCCCTATTCAAGCTGTTTCTCAAGTAAACTCCTTGTGTTTTGATTGCTTATTTTCGCCAGGGGTTCCACCACCAGATTGAATGGTGATTGTAGAAAGGCATTCATAAAGCAAAACACTACGTTAGTTCTTAGAACCAACAGACAATGGTTTTGTGCTGTTGGAGCCGTATTGACCTTCTTCTTCAGAAGCAGGGTTCTGGGCGCTGAAAAGGCAGGGTGCTCGTTCTCCCTGCCTGAGCAGGGCCCCCAAGCAATGCTGCAGCGGCTAAAAACGCCACCGCCTACAAGGCGAAGCTCAACACTCAGTTCAGCGCTGATGGGCTGGTTGATTTTGATTGGGCGGTGTCCCCTTTGGCGAGAATCCGGAACTTTTGTGGGTGACACTCCCTTATGGGAAGGGTGTGTATTCCGGGGGTCAACACATCACCCTCCTTCCAATCATTAAGCTGCACAGGGGGCTTCCCAGACAAATGACCATCGTCTTCCAAAACCATCCTGTCAGCTTCCACGATGTTGCTTTCACGGCTGGATGGAGATTGCCTGCAAACCATCAAGGTATCCCCTCCCATGTCCGCCGTTGACTTTTTAGGCGACACTTGTTGCCTGTTTTACAGTGCCACACCTGAAGCAAGGGACCCCAAAGGACTTGTACATCCACCTCTCAACATGGAACCAACAAAAAGGGGACAAAAGGATATTTTTCGGTGGGTTTGGCTCAAAATAGAGGACCCTCAACAACGGCGGTCCTTGTGTTGCCCTTGAAAGCCAAAAAGGTATCATCAAAAAAGAGACACCTAGGGGTCTGGTGAAGAGAACCGGGCCCACCAATCACTGTCACCTCAACATTCAATTCAAACAAAGGATTCGTGCGTGTTTTCCGTCAGCATCCCAAACATCTCGGTCTGGCGCAACACCCTTCCCGACAAATCAGCATCCCGATCCAAAATTGGGATACATCCCATGGGTTTCCATGGGTCAGAACCGCTTTCTGTTAATGGCTGCCAGGAAGCTTAACTGGCCGGACAAGCAAAACAGCCTTAAGTCAGTGCAGCACATTGCCAAACCTAAACTCAAGGCCTTCACCACATCCATCGAACACGTGATCCTTCCTGGTTGGATCAACCATGACGTTGGGGGTCAACACTCAACACACCTGAGTCATAATCAAAACCTGGTACAAACATGGTGAACCCAGAACCATATAAGGAACTGAAAAGGCGGCCGCAACTATTTCCGGCTGGGACTGCCCCTTACTAACCTTCATCTACCTGGGTTTTGATTGTGACTCACCTCTTGTCCAGCACCTAGGCGCCAAGGGAGGCAAAGGAGCGACCAGACCTGGTGGCTCAAATCTCTGCGCCCAAAACCTCCGGCCTGCTGGCAGATGCGGGCCATCGCGAGGGGTCACTGCGCAGGTGCTGGGGAAATGCCAAGGTGGAGGTCCTCACAAAAACGCCGTGCTGGGTTCATGCGCGAAGCTGATGGGAAACGATGGAAGCTCAAAGGGTCTGACCGGCGCATACAAGAGAAGCATGCAAAGGTCGCCGGACCAACTGGTAATGATAAAGCAGCAAACTGCGACCATTGTTTGGCACCGATTCTGCAAGGGCATAACATGACAATGTCGTCGGCTTTGTCAGCCCGACTTCAAACATGACTTTTCTGTCAACTCCCTGAATTGTGATATATTGTGATGCTTTTTGGTTGACCCTAAATGGGTTCTGAGATGCTACTGTCTGTCCTTTGCTGCAATCTGGAACCTGCTTAGGGTCCGTCATGCACATGTGGCCCCAATACGCTCCAAGCGTTTCTCACCAAGCTCAGAGCCGAAGATTCAAAGCAACGGATCGACATCTCCAAAGCAGGCGGATCACTTAAGGCTTCAAACCCTGCTGTCCTTCTTGGAAGCATTGCAAGTTCAGTCCAACTAATGCAGGCAAACAGTCACAAACATGCGATTCTTTCCTACCATGCCGTCAAAGCGTAGTGGTGCGTTTACTTGCTCTTGCAATGGTCAATTTCACTCAAACTAATAAGTTCGACATTGAGGTCGGCGATGTAAACCAATGAAAGCAAGCAGTACACTCCCAAGTGCAATCGTTTAGGGACAGCCCCGGAGATTTATTTTCAATAGACAAAAACACAACCAATCTACCGAGTGCAAAGTAGGAACCACGGGGCAGGCAGGCTTCCTGATGCCCCGCTCAGCTTGGCTTTCCCAGTGACACACCCTGATTTTCGACCTGTTCAAATAATGCTGTCAGCTTCGCAACTTTGCCGTAAAACCTGGTGGTGACTTCGCGCCCAATTTGTTTGGCCTGACTCTGCGCAGAATTCGTCTCTAGCTCTGCCCAAAATTGAATTCAAAGGACCTCCGAACCGTACGAACAATTCACATTACGGGAAAATCGTTCTTGAGTTGCAACAAATGGATTTCTGGGTCAGGTGGTTTGTTACATACCCGAGTTGCTCTGGGGCTGTGCGCGTCGTCTCAGGCAAAAACCAAGCCGGGCAGGCCGAGAGGAAAACGCCGGGTCTCCAAACCACCCTGGGGCCACGTGCTCAAGCCTTCGAGTGATTGAAGGACACTTCTGGGCAGAGTTCCACTTGTGACTACCTCCACCCGGGGGTAGTCAAAAAGTAGAACTCTGCTCACGTGGGGTTTCTCAAAACGGCACAAGGGTCGCGTTACTTGGCGGCTAATGGGCCTCTAAGAGGAAACAACCGTTTTGAGGAACCCCGAACGCCCCATGCCGCCAGAAGCTGGTCAGATCCGCGGTGAATAAGGCCTCCTGTGGAAATGTACGGGTTTATCTTATTGTGAATGAAAAGGGGAGGCGTTTTTGGCATGAGTTGCGTCACCTCGCACCAAGCAGGAAAGAATCACCATCGTAGTCTCCCTCCAAGTGAGCTCTTTGTAACTCTGGGTCATGGAAGTGCCAAAGAAAACAACCACCCAAAGGGATGTTGAGAAGCTTCAAGACTTGCTGGTTCCCAGCAAGGAATCAAGGGCTTATTGGAACGAACCCAGGGGTCCTCTCAAAAGCAAGCCACAAGGAATTGCTTAGACAAGCACAAACATGGTCCCTTTAAGGAGCCCAGCAGTCAGTCCTGCAAGCAATTATCTTGTCCCCGGTTGAAATGGACAAGTTTTTCTGAAACCAAAGAGGCAAAAAAAACAGAAACGGCAAACGGACCCGTCGAATAAACAAAACTAGGCGCGCGGCTGAAGCGGTGTGCGGCTAAACCCCATGCTTTTCTGTTTGTGTCAACAGGAATTGGCAGCATCAAGTGATCGCGAAACTTCAGCTCAATCAAACTGAGGTCAGCCGTAAGATCTCTGCCGCTCTCTCTCTCTCTCTCTATATCCTTCTCTCTCTCTCTCTCTGTATCATTCTCTCTCTCTCTCTCTCTCTATCTCTCTCTCTCTGCAGTTTCATCCAAAGGATCCTGCCTTGCACATGCCGTTTCCCAACTGAAAAATGAAGGGATCAACGGGCTGCAAATAATGCGGCCTGTTTGGTCTTAGAAGCTGCGCACGCAGTCCGAAATTTGGGCCTGAATCTAAACCGGCCTCGTGCAGGTGTCGCTTTTGGGACATATCCACAGCATGAGGGGCGGAACAATTACACACACAGAGAGAGAATTCCATACATCTGGAATAAATTAATGCTTTTGAAACACCCCACAAACCCTGGAACCCCCAATAATTGTTTTGAAACAACCCACAAACCCTTGTACCCCCAATGATAATTTTGAAACACCCCACAAACCCTTGTACCCCCAGACTGCTCCGAAACTCCTCCGAAAAGGTCCCGTTTCGGGCCCAGGCCGGTAGGAGGAGAAGACTGCCACGGAGGGATAGGCCGCCTTCTCCTCCCACCTCAGTCTCCAACCCCCTTTGGCTCCATTTCGGGAATCTTGCCAACCTGGAAATGTGCGCCAGGCTTGCGGCAAGGCACGCTCGGCTCAGCTTTGATCACCCGGAACATCCGAAGACATGCGAAGTGATCGGCGAGCAAGTCAGCTGCTGTTCCTTGTGTGCACTTGGAAAGCCAGGGTGATCCCTTGTCGGATATGCAGGGCTGCACATACAGGTTTCATTTCAGGCTGGTTCACCCAAACCCCAATGCCTGCAAATGTTCAAAGCTTCCATTTTGCCAGGGTGGCTCAAACTTACTTTTTAAACTGTTTCAATGCATCACAACTTGGGTCTGAACCAATCCCCAGATTTGCATTTCTTTGGACCAGCCCCCTAACCCCTGGAATCCGTTGGTGGCTTCCATAACCTTGCCCAGTTCGGACCTGGAAATAGAAGGTGATCAGCTTTTGGGACCTCTGAAAGTACATGGGAAAACCCAAAGGTCAGATCCGGTCGTCTGTGGTCAGCTAGGGCCCCCGGCCCTGGCGGCACCGCGTGGCTCATGGCGTGGATCCGGATCTCGGACCGGTACGCGAAGCGAGCGAAGCCGATGGCTCTGGCTAGGGTTCCACAAGATCCTGAAGCAAAGAGCGGACACCCTGCCACCCACTAACGTGGAAGTGCAAAAAGGCCAACTTTTTAGGAGGAAAAAGGAAAGTAGTCTTTCTACAGGGGTCTGTGCACTTCCGTGCTAGCTGGTGGGAGGGGAACGATCACAGATCACACCCGGAGAAAAGCAGGGTTGACAACCGACAAGGGAGACCACTCTCTGGCATTGAGGACTGACCTTGTACAACACAGCGTGTTGCACCTCCTTTAATTTAACTGGCTCTTAAAAAGGAGCTCGTTTTCTCACTTCCGTGGATCGGTACCGACGCAAACGCCGAGCTCCCCGCACATCAGCACCGGGGTGTTGTTTTTTGAGGGTGCCTTTTGTTAGGTGGTTTTCTGGGAAGGGAAACCCACCACTTCTTTTTGTTATATTGAATAATACCACTAATAAAATGTTTTACTAATAATAACAATGGTAATAAAACACTATATATATATATATATATAAACATTCTGAGGCAAAGCCATCTTCGGTTTCGCCCAAAGACTTCAAGCCAATGTTTTGCTGCAGGCCGTGCCTGTGGGTTGAGCATCGACCTCAGGCGCACGAGTGGTACACGGAAAGGGGCGCCCTTGGGGGGGTGGAGCCGAGCCTGCGCAAGAGGCCGGAAAAAATGGCTTAGACGCACTTCTCGAGTGGACTGGCCAAACAAAGTCCCTGCACTCGTTGTTTTTCGTGGTCTTCCCAAAAAGTCCAAAATCTGTGAACTCAGGGAGCCGGAAGGTACCTCCTTTCGGACGGCTGTTGTTTGAAGTTCTGAGTCTGATAGGATCAAATCTGTTCCAACATCTTGCTGGTGCTCAGTAGGAATGACCTTCCAGGTGGGAATGAACCGAAAGGGGATTCCCTAAAAGGAAACCGCAGCTGAGCTATAGGATCCAACTCATTCCCTGACACGTTGCGCGGAAACCGGGCCAGGGCGAAGGTCCCACTGGGCTCGCGGGCACGAAGATCGACAAGTTGGAGTCCTCGGGGCTCAACAAATCTCGCCCATGGCCGGCCAAAAGCAAAGCCACGTCAAATTATTATCCGACAGCCCACTTCCGGGGCTTACAACCATGGCTGCCAACCGTTGAACTAAGTCCCAAACACTTTAGGCAGTGTCGAAAAAATTACTGAGTCACTGGTTGATTCGCTGGCATTCAGCCTAGCCAAGCAGTTCATCTTTTCATACCATGTACACAGATATGATATGTATGTTGAAGAAACACTGGCAAGAGACTCGGAGTTCCCGGAATGACTGGATCCATAAAACCCGAACCAATAAAAGGGTCACTTCCAGTGGATTCGCCAAGCAAATGTCTCCGTTCCCTTCGGCTAAGGCGTAGTCAATGCACACCAAGTCGGTGCACTTGCTCAGGCACAGGGCATCTACGAGCGCGTCCTGGAGCGAAGCCCACGTTCTCAGGCTGAACCAAAAAAAGAAGAGTGTGGCAAACAAAAACTTGCTGGTGCACAGTAGGGAATGAGGGAATGAACCCAGGGGTCTCCTGCACTAGTTGGATGGTGTATAAGGGTCATTCCCTCATTCCGTGCTGAGCACCAGCAAAGAGGAAAAGGAAAAAGAAAAAGCAAATGGACAAACCGCCACCTAGAGTCTCCATGACCCTTTAAAAATGGGGTCATGACCCCTTTATTTTGGGTACTGACCCCACTTATTAAGGGTCATGGAGAGTCTAGGCACGCTGAAGACATATATCCGCAGGAACGGGAATGCTGCCCCGTCCAATTGAGGAGGGCGTGCAAAATCACCAGGGTGGAAGTAGATGGCACACTTCTCCGTATGGTCAGCAACAGCAATGACTAGACTCTGGACAAAAATGGCGACCTTGCGCCAGCTGGCTCTTACTATATGCCGCAAGGGCCAAAGGAAGCCAACCGAGAGCCGAGGGGAGCCGCAACTCTCGTCCTCCGCGTCGGTTTCTCGGCAGGGCGAGCGATGCACCTCGTTGTCGATGCCGTCCGAGCGCACGCCGCCGCGCGAGCGCCTCAATGGCGGGTGGTCAACGGGTGGTCAGCTTGGGCTTGGCCAAGTGACGAAGCTGGTAACTTCGAGCACAACCCACGCCCCCTTAAAGTGGAGTTCACCCGATCATAGTGTGTTATAAACACGGTCGAGAGGAATCCTACACCTCTCTTCTCCAATGCCTCAAATTGAGACCATTGCCGATCACCAGGCATCCATTCACAAGGCAGACATTTACGCCCAGATGTGGTAAACAACTAGGGACCTTGGCCCACCAAAGGGCGGGGGGTGCACGAATCGATTGCCTCGAAACCGTTGAAGGATTCCTGATGGGGATCCCTAGCCTATGGTTGACACGGGTCCCCTTGGAGGACGCTTGGAGCTTCCTCCCAGGTTGCCAGCTGACAAATTGAAAAGTGGGACCGCCTCTATGGGGTAATCCGGGATGAGAGTTAGCAAATTACTGCAACAAGCCTCAGGATTCTCGTTCCTCATCCAAATGATTTCATTTGCACCCGGGAGAAAGCGGCTCCTAAGTATCTACCCTTTTTGCTTTTCAGCCCAAGCGATGCTTTTGTCAACAACCCCTCTTCGGAGACAACACGAATAAAGGGATTGACCAGGCAAAAACAGGCACTAAATATATAGCGGCGCGGGCGCTACTATGCTACATAGGTGTATACATTTTGTATTTATATATGTACATATGTATATGTATATATATATATATGTGTGTACATTTGCGCTTGCCATCTTTCTCTCTCTCTGGGATGCATATATGCGAAACCGCGTTGCACGCCAGCCTACAGATTCGCTCCCAATACAGACATGACCCGGGCAATATGGTCGATTCTGCACGCTTTGTGCCGCGAAATTGGGCCGGCTGAAAAAACACGCACGTTTTTTCGAGCCAAAACAAGTTGCGGAAGTTAGGAAGTACTTAACTAACAGTAACTAACATCTCGAACTTACTGTAGATAAGTGCATGCTAAGTAAGGTGGCCACCTTGTAGGGCCGGACTCTAGGGCCGGACTCTGTTGCAAAAGCTGCGTATTCTTCGCCACTTGTTTCACATTCCCCGAATTGTCACTTCCTGAGTGGCTTGGCCAAAACAAGTGCAAACTTGTTGGTTGCCACTACAGTGGTTGCAAGCAAACAGGTCACCAGCCACTGGGCAGCTTCGATCTGAGGTCGCAGCTTGACGCCTTCTCGGCAGCACAGTTGGATCTGCATGGACATTGGAGAGCTAAGGTATCTTTTATATGGCTATGAATTTTAATCAGGTGCCCTTTGGTGGACATCATTTAGGTGGAAATTCATGTCCACCAATCACTTTTGAGGTGGTTCCCTATTACAATTCATGGCCATATGAATGTGTCTCAAACTGGTGGGCCGGGTTTGGTTGCCAAAGGGGCACATGTTGCTCACTGGAGGTTTCCTTCTGCCGTATCTGTGAAACCATGCCGGTTTTCCCGCGGCCCGAGGGGGCCAACTGTCGCCTAGGGCTTGCTGAGCCTTGGCCCCCCTTTAAGGCGCCCTCAGATCGGCCGGGAAGGACTCAGGGGGCCCTTCTCCAATCCCGCCAAAAGATCCGCTGTGGGTTCATGGGCCTTTACAGCAAACGCTGGGGAGTTCATTTGCTTTTGCGCCCCCTGGAAAAATGAGAACATATGATATGCTTCCTTTGGTGATAAACTCCCTTCAAAACCAAAAGCGGAAAACCGTATGCTTAAGCAAATGGAAGTTTTGGCGCCCACGGGGTCCCAACAAAAGTCCCAAGGTGGGACTCGCAAAATCAGGTCCGGAAGAAAAACACTCAACCCACAAATGATTGCCCACACATGTTCTGTTGTTCGCGGATTTCGGGAAATCAACAAAAGTCCCTATGACAACTTTGTCACCTTAAAGGGTGCCAAAGCACATTCCACAAGAGTCCGGCGTGCCGACCGACCAACCCACTGAAATAGTTCCTTCCATGGATTGGCCAAAACAAGTCCAAACAACTGGGGGTGTGCCTCTTTTTAGGCGACGCCCCCCTCCCCCGCCCCCCCCCCAAAAAAAAAAACAAAAACGCTTGTCGCTTTGGTTTCCCTTTGAAGCTGCACAAAAGGGGTACTTTCAACAAACAAACACACGCTGCTTGCCAGCATTTCAGAACTCGAGTGAGAATAACTCAGATGCCCAGTGGCCACGGGAAAAAAGGGCATCCTTTTTGGTTGGTTGGTTTTCAAGGGAACCCTTCCAAAAAAACATGAAAAAGGGGCGCAACTGGGATAAAGCCAAAGCCCAAGTCCCGCCTTGCTCCCAGGTGGCAGCTCCTCAGGGCGGTCAATTCCTCCCAGTTGCTTGTGCCGTTAGTTCGGCTGGCGCCAGTCCAGGGCGAAGGGGAACACCGAGGGAAGCGTGCCATCGAAATTCACCCGGCTGTTGCCTTTCTATTTGTGTAATCATTCAAGTGGATAAGGTTTTTACCGAGACGCTAGTCTTCCCAACGGCGGTCCACTTCCATCATTGCTGCCAGGAACAGGACAGCCAACCAACTTGTATCGTTCCACAAAACCAAGCAATGCCTTGCCCTGCTCACCGTCTCAGTGCACAAGGTAGCCTCAACAAATTGCCGAGCACGCCAACCAAAAGCTGATTGTCATAGTTGGTTGCTATGGCTCCCCTGGCCCATATGGTCAATGCTTCCCCTGCAACATGCTCTCAAAGCAAGCCACATGGGCTGTGAACGGCCGTTGATGACTGTAAAAGGCTTTATGGTGCAAAGCTCAGCGGGAGGTCCTTTTGGGCCCTGACAAACAGGTGACCAGACAAAGCCTAGGTTGACCCCTTTGGGTACACCGGGTAAAAGGGGCAAACATCCTGGGAGTTACATCTGACATGCAGGCTTGCAGCCTAGCTCTGCTGCCTCACCCAAACATGACGGAAATACCTGATCATTGAGATTGAGAAAAACGACTGGTATAACCACATTTTGTGAGCGGATGGGAAGCAACAGAAACCCGAAGGCCCCGTTCTTGCAACAACAACCTGGCGCAACCCGAAATACACACGAGACAGAAGTCTTTCAGATCCTTCCAACAAAAGTCCGGCGCAAACCCGGGCTGTCTCACCCAAAACCATTCGATTCTCAGAGCGGACGCTTCGCCAACCAACGGCCCGCGCCTTCCGGAAGGCCTCCGCAGTTTGAACCTCGTCCGTGGCCAGGTACAAGACCTGCGCGGACGGCGCTTCGCTTTGGACTCGGCTTCGAGCTTCGGCCGGCCGGAGGCGGTTGGCCGGTTTTGGGTTCACAGCCCAGAAGCTATGTTTTGCTGGGCAATGTTGAATGTTTTTGTTGCGGTCTGCCCCGCTCACTTGGCAATGTGTTTGGCGGTTTTGCTCACCTTCTAGCAGTGCAACACCTTGGCCCATGCCACAGGCAAGCGCCCACTCGGCCCACACTTTGGGAGCGGCGTTGTTGCTTTTGGTGACTGGGGCTGCGCGGTATCCGCAAACAAACCAGAAAATGCGACTTTGGAGCCGGCAGGGGATGGGTTGTTTGGCTTGAGGGCTTGGAGCCTTTGAGCTCTGAAGCCCGAAAATGCCCCAACTCAGTGCTGAGGATGACATTGCAGGTCCGCTCCACAAAAAAAAAAAAGAACTACCATGTCAGAAAACCCCCGGTGGCTCTTATTAACTCCCTCTTGAAAGGCGAATTTGGATATCCTCAGCTCGACTTCCAACCAGCTGGCTGATTGCCCATAGTTTCAGCTGAGCGCGGGAAAAGCCGCCTGCCTGTGGCACGCCCGGCCTCAAGCGAAAGTGCAAACCAGAAGCGCAGGGGACACACATGACTTTGAATATTCAGGACAAAGTGAGGCACACATGGATTGCAGCTGGAAGCCCTGGTTGTGAAACAATGACAATGGTTGGGTTTCATCAACCTCTGGTCTGCGAAGGCCGTTTGAAGGCTTCTTGGAGCCTGGCTAGGGAAACCAAAGGAATGCCACCATGGGGTGAGAAGTGGACACCGACCCTTTTTCAGCTTGGCTTAAAGGGAAACCACAAGGAACTCCACCAATTCTGCCTCCCCCCCCGACACGTTCACCCAAAAGAAGAAGCTTGGCATCCCTGTTCTCCACTTGACCCACCCGCGTGACCTCCAGGCAGGTGCCAATTGCTTCAAGGAAAACCAAAAAGAACACCTCCACTTGGAGCAGATCAATATGACCCATGTACGGTGTGCCCATGTCGCTGCCCAGGGTCGGGCCACACCCTTGCTTAAGTTGATTAAATTATTTTTGCAACTTCCCTACAAATTAATGTGGAACCCAACAGGGTGGTCCTCCAAAAGGAGCTCCCTCTACAAGTGGTGCTGTTTTGGGTTCCGTTTCAATCTGTAGGGAGTATTGCCAATTGTTTAAACAGTCTCGCTTAGGTTTCCCTATGACCAAGGCCTGGTTGTTGAAGCCGGTACCCAACCCTGCCGAGCTTGTGCAACTCATGCAGTTCAGGGATGTCGTGTAGGTGGCCTGGTGGTTCCAGCCTTTGCCTCGGTCAGGCTCAATAGGAGAAACCAGTTGATTCGCTTTCCAGCAAAATGGATCTTAGAAAAGATGCTGAGATTTACCCCTTCCCACTGTGTGATACATACTGGCGTATCTGCAGATGCCAGTTGGTTCCCACAAGCAATCATGAAACCCGCATAAAAATGCCTTCAAGGGAGCATGGGCGTTTAGGTACCTCTGTGCAGGTTCCCCGACTGCATTGGGGAGCAGTTTGAAACTGACAGTCCATGGCTCTTGCACGGCAAGCTATCATTTGGAACCTGCCACAACTTTGTCCTTGCAGAACGTGCTGGTGAATTGGACCTCGAGGGGCAGATACCAACAACCGACATGACAGGCAGCCTGATCGCTTCCAGCAAACACCGCCCTCCCTTTCTCTTATGAGCTTCCGGGAGGATGCGCTACCCTCCCGCCGACGAGCATGGAAGTGCACAGGCCCCTGTGTAAAAAAAATACTTTCCTCTTGGAAATTCTCACTATGCACTTCCATGTTGGTTGGTAGGGTAACAACTTCCACCCAACTGAAACCGTTTTCACATGAACTCCCTACAGCTTCCGCAAAGCTCCCTAAGGCCGCCCGGGCGCGCAGGTTACCCCGTCATCATCCGAGCTTCCCGCGGCGTCTGTGCCAGGATGGCCTTGGCCTTACGGCAGCAAATGCATAGCAAGTGGACCTCAGAAAAGGGCTTCTCAGCCAACAGTTACCCTCCCACCAACTAACATGGAAGTGTAAAAATGTGCTTTTTCCAAGAGGAAAGTAGTCTTTCTACAGGGGCCTGTGCGCTTCCATGTTAGCTGGTGGGAGGGTATTTGATTGTGGCTCAGACTTAGTGAACATTAAAATGTAGGTGTTCAGACAGAGCGCCAGAAAAAGGCTTGCGGAGGAGGTGGAGAAGGAACCAGTCAAACAGAGTTGTTATCTTTGCAGACCTTTGGTTCTGCTAACAACCTGTGAGCCATGTAAACCCTGCCTTTGTGAAGCCTGGATACAAAACCCCCTGTTGGATTGGTCACTTCAAGCGGAACGCTCCCTACAATATGAGTTTTTCTGGCTCAGGATCAGTGTTGCCTTAAAGGGCTCCTGCAACTCACAACTTCGCTTCGTGCTGGGTTTCTTGCATGTCCAATTTGGAGCACATCGCAATTCAAGCATCTGCACATTGTACAATAAGTCTATCACCTGAACAATTTCAGGGATCCTAGAGTAAAGAAAAGAATCCGCCGCCTGAACCCAGTTGTGCAATCCGTGCAAGCAACTGTCAAGTGACAGATTCCAGTGTATGCTATGGCAAGCGCAAACGAGGAACACTTAAGGGATTCGACCCGCCCCCGCCCACGGACTTTTGCCTTGAGCCAAATGTAAGGATGCAAACAGTTCAGGCTAGGAATGGAAACCTATGGCACTGCGATTCCGGGGCACATGATCACACTGTAGAGTATGGTCCAAATGACCATTTGAGTTGATGTTATTCTTCTCCCCCCTCTCTACATGTAGATCAGTGCGATTACACTGCCAGTGGGCCTGAGCTGCCAGCCGTATGCTGGGTTCGTGCAAAATTTCTTGGTGGCAACTGTCAATGCGTCCAAAGCAGTCACAACCACTAATGTTGTTGTAGGCTGACACATCATGACGTGCGTCCTTTGCCTTGTCTGCGATTAAGGTGATCACAAGTGTTAGCATGCATTCACAAGTAACCCCCCTGGTCTGATGTCCGGTGGGTGCGACACAAGCGGGCGAACACACGAAGTTATCCTCACAAGTGTCTTTTCGCACATGGTTTGGATCGCGCCTAACGGCAGCGGTTGACGATCGTTTCAAGTTCAACAAGATGCTGAGTCCGATCAAGTCCTGTGCTTTTGCGCACGGATTCAAGATGGCCTACAAGCACACAAGCCAAACCTACTGTGGTTTTTGATCCTGCTGCAGCTTGAAACCGGCCATGGAACGCCTCACGGTCTCGGGCACGGATGTGGTCATGCCGAGCAACCTGAGAGCATTTTGCCAGCCCTGCTGCTCAACTGCTTTCGTGAACACGTCTGCGATCTGGTCAACAGATGTTACATGTTTCAGGGTACGGTCCGGAGATGCAACCACGTCACACAAGGAACCTAAGTTAACCTTATGAGTGCGGGTGATGTGTCTCAACTTTTGGCTGAACCCTGAGCGTACAATCTTCTCGGTCGCCTCGTTGTCCTCGTAGATGATAGTGTGAATTTCTCTCTGAAGGACCATGCCCCACAACACTTCCATAGGAAGTGCCTCTGAGAACACACCAAAGGCCATGGCAATGACCTCTGCCTCTGTTGTTGACCGAGAGACTGCTGTTTGTTTCTTGGATGCCCAGCTAAGGGGCCACACAGAGTTTGGTCCACGCAACTGCAGCCATGCGCCACTGGTTGAATGAGCGCAATCAGGGCTGCCTGAGAAGTCCGAATCTGTGTATATCTCCAGCCACAAGTCCTCCGGCGAGTCATTTATGTACCCGACCAGAGTGTAGTCTGTGGATTGTGACACGTACGCCATGAGCCTATGCAACATGCGATCACATGCTTTACTCCACTTACTGACAAGTGTGGCAAGATGAGTGATTGCCCGTAGCACATCTGGGCGGCCTAGCCGGGCCCCCCACAGGAGTTTCATGAGAACTGCACATGCGTGTTCCTCGAGCTGGCCTTTCTCCTCCCATTCCTCTGGAAGGATTGATCCCTTTGGAAGGAATGGAGTTGGAGCTCCCTTAATGGTCTCTGCACCACTGAGTTTCAAGTACATTTCAACAGCAGATTTCATGTATTCCCTTACGTTAAAGGCAATGCCCTCTCTACCATTTACTCTGACAAGTTCGTGGTGCCTACCAAGGAACCTTCCCAAATCACCGATATCTTCGATCTCGATAACCTTCCCCAATTCTTCCCAAAAGGGGGTGTGTGAAGCAATGCTTGCTGAGAGCAGCAAATCATCAACATAAACAGTCAACAAGAGGTTTCGTTCCTTGAAGAAAAATGTTGAAGGATGCCCATCCACAGGCTGGCCCCCTAGCCTCACGACGGCCCGTTCGAGATATCGAGCCCAGTGTGCGCCCGACTCCGGATGCCCGTAAAGGCTTTTGCGTAGCCTTATCAATGGCTTCTTGTACTTACCTTTCCAAGATTCCGGCCATAATTCCCAAGGCAAACGCACCCATGTTTCATGCAAACTTCCTAACGGAGCTTGCACATATGCTTTCACAACGTCGGCGCTAGTCGTAGTGCTGCCGGGGAGCTGCCCAAAGGCTATCACAGCGTTAGCGGCTGTGATAGTAGCCGGGGATGCTGACAGACTCTGATATATGGCGAGAGCGCCATTCTGGTCTTTAGCATTGTCTCCTCTGTACACTATCCTCCCTTTTAGCTGATGATACTCTTTTGGCAGCTCATCGTATTTACGACTGCATATGGACATTATGTCTGCGATATGCACAGTTTTGCCGGCTAGCTTGGCATTGTGCACGATGTTGGCATGCTCATCGACCGAGTCGAGATCCCACGTGTCTTTGCCGGTTAAGCCGTCAAATTCCTCCCTGACTTTTGCCACGGCTTTAGGATCTTTTATCCATTCCTTTCTATCTAGCAATTTTGTTACGAGTGCATACAAGTCCAACTCAAGTGAGTCCTTGTCACAAGATGGATCCTGCGTCGCAATCGCAGCAGTCTTGCTGGAAGATGCCTCCGCTGAAGGCGGAATGTATCCTGGATCCCCTGGCCCTTCAGATCTGGGATCGTAGCCAGGATCACCTTCCTTGATCCGAGGCTTTGGCGTGGATGGCGCAGGAACAGATCCTGGCGTTGGTGGCACAGGCACAGGAGTTTCTGGCACAGGTGCGTCTGATGACGCCTCCGGTTTGGTCTCCGCCGTCGAGCTCTTGGGATATAGCTTGTCAAAGCGATCCCTGCACTCTTGTGAGTGGCGAGTGGTGCCATTGTCACAACCTGAGCAACCTTTGGTAAATCCATGCTCTATAAGCCTACCGAAAGTGATATACGAGTGTCTGGCTTTTCCCCCATCCTTTCCTGAGTACGGTACCGCATCAATGGCAACTTCATACGGAAGTACCCCCCTTTCGAGTGATCTGTCAAACTCCGCTTTCCTAAGCTCATGCATTTGATCAGTAACATCAAGAAGGGATTTTTGTGCAGCACGTTGTAATGGGTATTCAATGTATTCAACAGGTGGAAAGTAAACCTCTTTCTGATGCACATCCTTTGGAACCCAATACTTATGAGACAGTTGCCTAAGAGCTTCGTAGTCTAGAACTTGCACTACGTCCCTATGTCTAAGGCCTGGCTCCATCTTCCATCCTGCAAAAATGGCAGGGCGTGTGGTTGGCGCTGCCATGCCATCACTGCTCTTAGCATGATAAAAGACAAGTGCCCCCAAGGGGTAGAGGGTTCCATTGAAGGGTTTCCCCGTGGCAACCTCCCATTTACTCTTGCCCTTCTTGGCTTCCTCCGCAGGCCCACCTACCTCATGGGGGTAGATGGGAGCATTTTCACAAAACGACCGAACCTTTGCCGTGTATGCCAGAGACACTGGCCACAGCTTTCTCCAGAACCCGGCCTGCAAGTGAGATGGTCTACAAGCCTCCTTCAGGGAGCGGATGTCCCTCTCACACGATGCATTGTGCGGCCAAGCCCTTGTCAACGATGGATCAACAGTCCAACACAAGCGGTGCGCGGCATTTGTGAGCTCACCGGCGGTGTCTGACTTGAACACCGTGTCTGTGGCTCCGTTCAAAGCAGCTCCTGCAAAGTGCTTCATTGACAAGTAATTGGATTCTTCTGAGCGGTCTAATTGTGGGTATGCTATGGACGCACCTGAGTAATGGTCCCTTATTAGAAGCGCATTTTGCTCGCCTCCCATCCCTGCATGTTCCGCAGAAACAATAATGTTGTCTGCTTGTATGAGTCTGCCAAAGGATTCTGGATGCTTGTACTCTGCTGGTTCATCATCGTCTGGGCGATGCGAATGTTTGTACTTGTTTAGCATCCTACCTCTCAAGCAGTGTTCACATTGGTTGTTTTTCTTAGCGTGTAGCAGCTGATGCTCGAAGCTTCGCGCTTCTCTTCTGAGTCTCACGGTAGACTCCTCCGGTGGCATCTCTGGCTCAGAATCGGCGTCGGACGCAGCGGCCAATGCTGGTGCGAGTACCTCACGCTCGCGGTGCGATTGTGGCATCACCTCAACAACCGGCATTGCTGGCACATGGCCCGATACCTTTTCAGGGTACCATGCCGAGCATATCAGCTCACACATTGGGAATGGATACCTTGCAGTCTTACGCGTAGCTTGGCCCTCAATAGTGGCATGTTTGAAACCCTTTGGATGGCTGCAGTGCTTAGATTTCAGGGCCTTGGCGAGGCGAGGGCATGTGGTAACCACCCTCCATCGCTTCAAGTGCGGCAGTCCTTTTGCGTCCACGCAACCAACTGCACAACCATCGAAATCGCAACTGAACATGTTCAGGTCTCGAACAAGGCGTTGCAGCTCGCGCAATTGCCATCCTGTGGCATTTCTAGGCCACTCAAAGGCAATCCGACCCCCCTGTTCGTGTACTTTCCTAGCTAGTTTGCAATAGTTCCCTACCAGCTTCTTGGAGATACTACGTGC